TGGTGACTCTAAATTGGAATTATTTATCTTATTCATAGGAATGCTTGAAATTTTCCACTTATAGTGGAATTTTTATACTCTCCACCTTGAAAAGGAGGGTATATTAACTTTGTCATTCCGTTTGTAACATCGCTAAATATTTGTCGTAGACCCCATAAAGTATATATATTCATAATAATTTTAAAATTCTAAGTCGATTTAAAGGTGTCCGTCTGTCTGTTCGTCTGTCTGTCCGTCCGTCTGTCTGTTTGTTGAAATCAAGATACAGCCTACATTATTTGACGTAAAGCTTCAGAATTTAGCAGAATAATTTGTATTGCATCTAGGATGGTTGGTATTGGACGTGGTATCCGTCCACGTTTTGATATAGTACCCATATAACGGTATCTCCCGATATTCGGTATTTTGATGACTTTTGCCAAATTTTTTTCGCCGATTTGTCTAAAAATTGGTATTTGTAGGTCATAATGTGTTCTAGCTCTGGTGGCAAAATATTGTATGTATTGGTCCACGTTTTTGCATAGCTCCCATGTAACAGAACCTCCCGATAATCGGTATTGTGATGATTTTTGCAACATTTTTCCACGGATTAGTCCAAAAATTGGTATTTGTACTTCGCAATGGGTTCTAAATTCGGTGGTGGAACATAGTATATATAGGTGTACGTTTTCCTATAGCCCCTACATAATAGTAGCTCTGGATTTTTAGTATTTTGATGATTTTTGCCGAATTTTTCCACGGATTTGTCAAAAATATTGGTATTTGTAGTTCGTAATGGGTTCCAGCTCCGTTGGGGAAACATTGTATGTATAGATCCACGTTTTTGTATAGTCCCCATATAACGGTACCTTCCAATAGTCGGTGTTTTGATGACTTTTGCCACTTTTTTCTACGGATTTTTCGAAAAATTGGCATTCATAGTTCGTAGTGGATTCTAGCTCCTGTGTCGGAACATAGTATGTATAGGTCCACGTTTTTGTATAGCCCCCAAATAATGGTACCTTCGGATATTCAGTATTTTGACAATTTTTGCCATATTTTTCCATGGATTTGTCTAAAAACTGGTAATTGTAGTTCATAATGGGTTCTAGCTCCGGCGGCATAGCATTGAAAATGTAGGTCCATGTTTTTCTATAGCGCAAATATAACGATACCCACCGATACTCTGTATTTTAAAAATCCTAGTCAAATTTACATACGAAATTGTTTCAAATTTGGTATTTAAAAAGGTTTGGTAGTTGACAATCCTTGTATGGCCCCATTTAAGGGCCTCACCCACTTATTAGCATTATTCAAACGGTCTTACTGGTATTTATAGTTTAAAGTGAGACGTTTGAATTCAGATACTTTTATATAAAAATATTTTGTTTACCCAAAGATAGAGGGTATTATAAGTTCGCCCCGACCGAACTTAATGTTTTTTTACTTCTTTAATCGGGGTTTTATTTTAAGACTGCGCAGTTCGTATTGGAATTACTATAAAATGTGATGTGAATAGACAATTTCATATTTGAAGTTACCACTGAGCAATCTATACATAAAAGAGTATTGAAATAACTGACTGACTAAGAATCAACGCCCAGACGAAACGGCTGAACCTAGAATCTTGAAAACTTGTCCGTCAGTCTTGATACGTAGTCGTGTAATGAGGGTGAAATTTGGAATGAGAGTCATTTATGTATGGAATGGAGGATAGATGTACCAAAGCGTTTTTGGAACTTTAAGGTTACGAAAAGTTCAGGGAAATATAAAGATATACCAGATTCGAATGGAATCGCTGACTTGTTTCGCTAGTTATGAGAGGGGGAGGTACGACAAGGGGTAGGCCGATATCTAACATCTACACACCATATCTTTTGTTAGTCAAAATATTGAGATGTGTAAAGCTTGAAAATTATCGGACGATAATTTTGCATTATTAGGGCGTTTTGTTATTAAAAATGTTATCCCTCTGTGGTGGAGGTACCAGCGGAAGTAGATCGATATACCTCATCTTCACACCAGATCTTCATATAATTGTTCAAGATTTTGACCCGTAGTGGGGGAGAGGTACCAGAAGGTGTGTTCTGATCTCTACCATCTTTATAACAAATCTTGTGTTGTTGGAAATATTGAGATGTACTACGAGCGAAAGGAATCGGATGATTATTTTGCGTTTTATGAGCTTCATGGATAGTAATAATTTTGACCCCTTGTCGGGGAGGTACCAGAAGGAGAGGACCGATGCATCCCACCTTCATAGGAGATCTTGTGTTAGTAGAAATAATGTAATGTGTGAAATATAAAGAAAACCGGATGCTTATTTCGATTTTTATAATTATTTTGGTTATTTAAAACTTTGGCCATTTGTGGCGGGGATACCAGAAGGTGTGGTCCGATCTATACCATCTCTATAACATATCTTGCGTTGGTGGAAATACTGAGATGTGCCAAGTCTGAAAGGAATCGCATATTAATTTCGCGTTTTATGAGCTTCGTGAATATTCAAAATTTTTACCATTTGTATGGAAGGTGCCAGAAGGAGTGGACGATATATTCCATATTGACACCAGAACTTGGGTTAATAAAAATATTGTGGTGTGTTATTGGAAGACAATCGGACTCTTACATTACATTTTATAAGAGTTATAATTATTCAAAATTTTGACCCATTGTGGGAGAGGTACTTGATGCAGTGGACCTCTGGAACCACATGGCTGAGAGTATAAAAAATACAAAGGCAATGAGAACAATGTTTTCATTATAATACATTATAGAACCTATAAAGTATATATATAATTGATAAGCGTAATATGCTATGTCAAAGTCCGTCCGTCTGTAGAAATCGATTTAGCTTCGGAACGAAACAAAGTAGGTAGATAAAATGTTGCTCATATTAGATCTGCAAAATTTTTGATAATATAGGTTTATATAGGTTTACGTTCTGGCATAGCAACGGTGGATTTAAAGTCTTTTCGATGTCCTACTCACAATTTCAACCCGAATTTGCTGTCAATTAGCAGTTTGAGTTCGCAGTATGTCGGATATATCCTTGCAAATAGCTGTTTTTATATATATCCAAGTTTTGAACTGCACCTCCAGATATTTGATGCTTTGGTAATTTATGAAACACTTTTCATCGGAATTGTTTCAATTTTGGTATTTAGAGTTCGTAATGGATATTGCCTGCTATTATAGGAAATTGCCTATACATGTTCACATCTTCGTATAGCCATCAGAAAGAGGGAGCGCTCCTGGGAACAGAAAAACAAATCGATCTATCCCAATTTTTCGATTTCACTCGAATAAGAGTGAGTAAATTTTCCTCGTTTTTGAGTGGGAGCAAAATTTGTTCAAAATCGAGAAGACTCTTACTCTATTTTGAGCGACTCTGCTTTCACCTACACAGAAGTGACTCGGGAGTGCTCCCAAAAAAAAGAGAGTGAAGAGTAGACTCCGTTAAAAACTTACACTCTTCGAGCAATCCTGCTCGCGAGTAAGTTTGGCTTCCGAGTGAAATCGGGCAAATTTGTGCTCTGTTAAAAATCGACAGGTATTTAAAAACATTTGTTTTTTAAAAATTAAGGTCCAATTTTACCGGACTCGAACTCGAAACTTCTGTTGTATAATAAGGAAGAAGGTCTTTTGCTTCGGCCATTTATTTTGTTTCTGCATCCGTAAAATATGCAAAATTTGGAAAAATTATCTGACCAGATTCTAATATTTTGTAAATAAGTTTTTCTCGGATTTTTCGGACTAAAACCAATAATTCTTTAAGACTATTTGACAAAACTTTCTTGCCAAGAATCGATGATATTTTAATATCTTTACGAGTTCGTGCTGGATGAAGTTTTTGGATTCTTAACAACTTTTTTTTGACATCTCCTGACCCAATAAAATCGAAAATCATGATTTTTGTTTAAAATCTTCAAGGATTTCGCGGTTAAATTTAATAAAGTTTTGTAGAGAAATTTTAAGCACTTCTATCTAGAATCATATTTTTAAAATTTCCAGCCGGAAATCGTAGATTTTTTATTAGCACTTTTTACAAAAGCTTTCTGACAAAAATTAGGGTTTTAAAAAATATTTGTATTTTTATACCCTCCACCTTGGAAACGAGGGTATATTAACTTTGTAATTACGTTTGTAACATCCTTAAATATTCGTCGTAGACCCCATAAAGTAAATATATTTATAATCAGCATAAAATTCTAAGTCGATTTAACTATGTCCGTCTGTCTGTCCGTCTTTCTGTCTGTCTGTCCGTCTGTATGTCTGTCTGTTGAAATTACGATACAGCCCACATTATTTGACGTAGAGCGCCAAAACTTAGCAGAGCAATTTGTATTGTGTCAAGGATATCGGTTCACGTTTTGGTATAGTCCGCATATAATGGTACCTCCCGATATTCGGTATTTTGATGATTTATGCCACATTTTTTTCACGGATTTGTTTGAAAATTGGTATTTGTAGGTCATAATGGGTCCTAGTTCGTGTGTCAAAACATTGTATGTATAGGTCCACGTTTTGGTATAGTCCCCATATAACGGTACCTCCCGATATTCGGTATTTTTTTGATTTTTGTCACATTTTTTTCACGGATTTGTCTGAAAATTGGTATTTGTTGGTCTTAATGGTTTCTAGCTCTTTTGGCGAAACACTGTATGTATAGGTCCACGTTTTGGTATAACCTCATATAGCCGTATTTCCCGATATTCGGAATTTTCATGATTTTTGGCACATTTTCCCATGAATATGTCTGAAAATTGGTATATGTGGGTCATAATGGGCTCTAATGTTTCCTTTACCCTAAGGTGGAGGGTATTAAAGTTTGGCCCGGCCGAACTTAATGTTTTCTCACTTGTTTTTAATACAAATTGTGGATTTTATAATAATTTTTTTATGACTTCCTATCAAAATTTAAGCAAAAATAGTGATTTTTGTCACATTTTTTCAAGAATTACACAGATCTATTGTAATCTCGAGTTATTGAAAATTTGGAATATTTTTTCCGAATTTAAGTTTAATTTTTCTCTTAGTCTTCTATTACCCATTATAGAGTATTCTCTATGGGAAAATCACATCTAATTTTATATACGGCCACCAAGAACAAGATTAGCCACCTGTAATTAAAACAAAAAAAAAAACAAAAGATCAGATTCCTGTTCTTTGGAGTGTTTTGATACTTTTCCTGGCGTCTTGCAACAAACTTACAGAAACTTGAATTTCACCAAAGAGGAAGAAGCATGTTGCATGCAACATAACGGTTAGTGGCTAATTGAGAGTTAGTTGCTGTTTTGTGGAAAATATGGTCAGTTAGACAATGGAGCTGGATGTGAACACAACGTTAGATTCGAAAAAAAGCCAAGCAACAACGGGAAATTACTAGAAAAAATATAAACAAATAAAGAGAAGCTTAAAAATAGATCAGCATCAGAAAAATATTAACAATTTTGAATATTTAGAGCGCGAAAGAAAGAAATTGTTTTCGTTGTGAAATATATAAATATATGAAAGAAAAGCATTGGGGAAAAAAGTAAAAGTTTGCCAAGGAAAAGCAAATAAAAGGGGTTGAACCCTAGCCAAGTAACTAACTCTCTCTGTGGTGCTGTGCGTTTTTTTCTCGATCATCAAAACGATAATAGATACCTTTTGATTAGTCCAGATAAATAATGTTTTAAAGCTCGGCTACGCTTCGATGGATATTTGTGATAGCGAGTGGAAGAAACAAATAGTAACGACAACAACAACAACGATGTTATTTATCTGTGTCAATTGTGGCATATGTAGTTATAACCGAAATTGTGACATATTCTCACCGAACCATTAAAGTACCGCACAAGAACCTGGCGTTTTCATGGCAAGAGGTGGAGTTTTATTTGTTTTTCTTTGGATTTTTGTTGAATGAATTGACTTCTTGCCTGGCATATGACCCAGAGGAGAATGAGGTCCAAGTGTGTAGCTGAGCCAACAATTGAAACACTAACGCAGCCGAGCCATGAAAGAAAACCATACCGACGTTCCAAGAGATATGAAAATTTCACTCAAATCTATTAAAATCATTTGTGTCGGAACTGTTAAACGCAACGGTTGGTTGTTGTATTGTGAAGCGCGAATGTTTGGAAATATGCCGGTCGTCTAAGGATTAGAGATAAACGGTGTTAGAAAAACGCAAAGAAAAATAAAGAGAGAAAAAAGTTAATTTTAGTGTTCGAATAAAAAAATTTGAAAATCAAAGAAAAATTGGAAAAATCTGAAAATCAAAAAAAAATCTGAAAATCAAATAAAATTTTAAAAAATCTGAAAATAAAAAAAAAAGTTTGAAAAAACCTGAAAATCAAAGAAAATTTGGAAAAATCTGAAAATCAAAGGAAATTTGGAAAAATTTGAAAATTCAAAAAAAAAAATTAAAAAAATCTGAAAATCAAAGAAAATTTAAAAAAAAAACTGAAAATCAAAGGAAATTTTTGAAAAATCTGAAAATCAAAGTAAATTTTGAAAAAATCTGAAATTCAAAGAAAATTTAAAAAAACTGAAAATCAAAGGAAATTTTGAAAAATCTGAAAATCAAAGAAAATTTGGAAAAATCTGAAAAAAGAAACAAAATGTGTTGGTTTTTCATTGTCATAAAAGTGTTAATGTTAAAGCTACTACTGGCCAGCATATCCGGTCTAAGTGAGGTCGGGGCCAGCCCAAATTATGAATATGGTTATCATCCTAGTGCCGAGGAATTTGATAATCTCCTAAGAGAAACCCATCGAACCTGGACCCATGATATTTTGAAAAAGCAATCCGACAGAGAATTATATCGCCACCAAGCGGAGAATCAAGTCAATACCTTTGTGCCAAAATTTCAATATGAAAATCATCATTTGAATAAATATTTCAATAATTTTAATAATATTCCCACTACCACACCAACATCAACAACGACGAGTAGGCCCAAACCCCACATTTTTAGCCAAGATCTTCAAGAATCTGCCACCAATAATCGTTATCAGGATCTACAAGAATCCGCCAACAATAATCGTTATCACTTTGCCTCCAATATGGATTTCCATTTGAACGACAATATCTTTGGGAATAATGGCAATAATGACGACGACGACGAGGTGGGAAATCAAATCTACGAAGGTGAGGTGGACATGAAGGACAATGCGGTGGTGCCATTTCAAACGAAACCTGCAAATTTCCCCGAAATCAATTTGAAACCCATACACCCCAATGAATTGGAAAAATATTCACTCAATAATCTCTATAAAAATAATACCCGGGCCCATTTCCCCATATATTTTACCAATCCCTCGACGGGCATTGTCTATGCCATTACCGAAATGGGTAAATCGCCCAACAATACCCTGCCGCGGACGAATGGTAGCATACCCATTTTCATAACCAAAGAACAATATGAACGCGATATCCAACAGCTCAAACAGGAATATGAACAACAATGTAAAACACCCCCCGCGGATGATAAGGATACGAATAAAATCAATACCAAATTTCAAATACCCTCCTCGTTCTCCAGGCCTCAGAAAAATAATCAAACCTCGGTGACCACCATGAGACCACAAATTATACGATTAAATTCCAAACCCAATACCTCAGCAGCACCTTCGGTATCTAAATTAATTACACCCCTCAAGAAACCCTCTCCAGTTATTGTTAGAACCGAATTAACGGTAAAGGATAAAATTGCTCCCGGCATTTCCACCACCACAGCAAGGCCTTCACTAAATCATCGACTGAAATTGAAAAATAAACGTAAAAATAAAAAATCCAAGCCGCCAGGACATAGAATATCGAGTACAGCAAAACCTAGGCCCACCCAGGGTCTGTTGGCTCCCGGAGGTGGTCCGCCCATCCTGGTGGGTAAACGTACCACCACAAGACGTCCCTATGAGGGCATATACAAATTGGCAACCCAATTGGAAAAACCTAATTTTGGTACTACGATTTTTTCCACCGCTCCCATAACTGCCACCGCCACCAGTAAGGGGGAGGCAGCAGGAGGAGAAGGAACAAAAGGACAACTGGAATTTATTAATTTGGATAGGAAACGTAGATCAGCGAATAAACAGGGATATGAGGAGGAAAGAGGGAGATCGGTTCATGAAATTCAAATGAATGTTGAAACTGAAGGCGGCAATGATATTAATAATGAGATGGAAATTGGGATTAATTTTAAAGATGAAAACCAACCCAAGAGGAATCGGAGAACTATAAATAATAGAGAAAAAGAAATCAATAAGAAAATACGGGAGGTAATGGAATTTAAAAGGCATCGAAAAACTTTACCGGGAGAAGAAAATAAAACCCTGATATTCTCTGAAGGAGAAAATGGCGCCCAACTGAATCAGGGATTTAAAAGTGAAGATAAGATTTGGAACTATAACGAAAGTGAAAAGGATAGTGGAAACGAAAGGAATTCGGAAGAGATTCTAAGAATGGAAGATAATGAAATCGATAATATTGAAAGCAAGGATATCGATAACCAATCTTATTCTAAAGACATCAATTCTAATGACGAAATGAAAAGAAACGCAACCGATAATATTGAAAGCAAGAGCAACAATAAAAATTCGAAACATAAAATTTTCAAAGATAGAATCGAAGAAGACGCAATCGATAATATTAAACGCAAAGATGTCGATAACAATTCTGACGACAGTAATTCCAACAATTTTAATATGGAAATGGAGGAAATCAAGAATATCGATAACAATTCCAAAGAGGAACATGATTTCAAAGAAAAGGACATTTATGGAGATTACATAGGAGGGGATATTGTCAAGGATTCCTTGGAAGCATTTCCAGTTTGGCGGAAACGAAGAACTCTTAGTTTAGATAGCGATGAAGTCGATGAGGAACCTTGGGAGGGACATGCCACCGATGGAGATGATTATGAAACAAGTGGAGAGAGGAAGGATACATATGAAGTCAACAAAGATGGTAATAAAATCAATTACCTCGATAATAAAATTCATGGGGAACAGGGAATAATCTATAATAATATACAGCAAGTGGAGAAAATCCGCAAGGATATGTGGAATGCAATGGATGACGAGGACTTAAAAGCACATTCAAAAGACTTGGAATTAAAAACTCCCAGGGAACCTAAAAACGATAACGATAAGTTGTCAGGAGAATCGATACACTCAGACCAGGATATACAGAAATTAGAAGGCGATGATGCGAAAGGACATTCAAAATATTTGGAAACTAGTGACAAACGAGAAGAAAAATCTGAGAATGATGAATTTCCAAAAGAATCGTTACAACCTGATCTAAAAGGACACTCAATGTATTTGGAAAATAAAATCGATACAGGCCCAATGAAAGAAAGCTCTGGAAGCCATAAATCGCAAGGGCAGCCTAGGAGCTCTGATAATGAAAAAAATTACGATAGCGGAAAGCATATGAGAACTATTGGAAAAGAATCCACAAACGTGCGTTTTATTGTGAAAAATATGTCTATCGATAACGATAAATCAGATACCGATAACATGAAATTAAAATCTGCTCTCCCAGATAAACAAAAAATAATCAATTCTGAGGAAAATATGAAAAATAATACACATGGAAGGGAGTCAGAGGCTAGTTACGACAATTTGTTGGTAAAATATATAAATACCAATAAAGAAGAAGCAGATATCGATAACATGCAAATCCCATCAGGAATCTCTAAGATCCAAAATGAAATCGCTTCTGAACTAAATGTGAAAAATAACCTAAATGAAATTGGGTTAGAAGAAAAATTCGAAAGTTTTTTAGTGAAAGACAAAATTATCGATAAAGAAGAACCTGATATCGATAATAACAAAGGACATTCGGATCCCTCATATAATCAAAAAATCGATGAACATCATGTGAAGAAAATTCAACATGAAAATGAACCTGAGACAAGGCAGTTTTTACTGGCAAATATAAATATCGATAAAGAAAGTGGTGTAATCGATAACATGCAAGGACAATCTGAAGTCCATAATAAAGTAGGTGGTGATATCGATGGCATGCAAGAACAATCTGGAGACCATGTTAATCAAAAACTTTACGATTTGGATGAAAGTGTGAATAATTATCCACATGAAAGTGAGCTGAAGGGAAATAATGCAGCCGTTTTAGTGAAAAACACAATAATCGATAAAAAGAAATGGGAAAACGATAACAAGAATGAATATTCTGGCCCTTTAAATAATCGGCAAACCCATAGAAATGGACGCACCGTTAGAAACATTAAAGAAAGAGCTGAACAATACCAAAATGATGAACATTTTTTAGTGAAAAATACCGATATCGACAAAGAAAAAACTGATATCGATAATATTGTGGGTCTAAAGTCTAAACTTCCAGATATTCAAAATCAACAATTCAATGTTAATGGGCCGTATATGAAAAACTTTCAACATGAACAACATTTGACAGAGAAAAATTACAAATTGTTTTTAGTGAAAATCGATAAGAAAAATATCGATAAAGAAGAAAAAGATTTCGATAACATGCCAGGAAAATCTGAATTGCCAAATGATAAAAACTTTATCGACTCTAAACAAAATGTACTATATAGCCAAAATGAAAGTGCTTTAGACAGAAAACTTGAAAGATTTTTAAAAACAAATACAGTTATCGATAAAGAAAAAAATAATATCGACGACCTCTATAAACAACTTAATATCTTCGATAATCAAAATAACAACAATGACGGAAACACCGTGAAACATGGAAACGCCAAAAGTGACAATATTTCAATTTTGGAACCATTTTCGGAAAAAGTTTCAGTTATCGATAACAAAAAATATGAAATATCCAATGAAGAAAAAATTATCGAAAAAGAACAACATTTTTATAATGAAGAAAACGAAAATGAACGAATTAAAAATAACGTATATTTTTTGGAAAAAAGTACAATAATCGATAATGGAGGAGCTGATATCGAAAACTTAAGAGAAGAACATACATTTTCCGATAATCAAAAAATCATTGATAATCTAAAAATGACAGCAAATATTGCCAGTGAAAGTGAAAAAACTGAAATGGAGAAAAACGACGGCCGTCTCTTGATGGAAAGTGAAATTATCGATAACATAAAAAGTAAAAGTGCTAGTACAGAAGGAAAATCTGAATTGGTAAACAATGAAGAAGTCAAGAATAATGTACAATCCTTGAGTAGAACTGCATACGATAGTGAACAAATGATATTCGGCAAATATAAGCCAACTAGTAATAAGAAATTAGTGGATCTAAAATATGTTATCGATAATAAATATGGTGATAGTACAATTAACTCCTACGATTTCGATGCTAAGTCAAATGTGGACACGGGGGAAAAAATTATAAACGAGATAAAAAACCTGCAATCTAAGATGAATATTAGAAACCAAAAATTAATCGATAATCAATTAATCGATATCGATATATCCAGTGAACCAATTTTTAGTGACAACGTACTCGGTTCTAATAAAAATAGTAAAGAAACAACTAAAAATGAAATTGAAAGTGTTGGCATGGATAATACAGTTCCGAGACAAAAACGTTCTCTGAGAGTAAATAACCAACAAGGAATCGATGATAAATTATCTCAGCAAGAATTTTCGAGACAAAAACGTTCTCTGAGAGCAAATAATCAACAACGAATTGATGATAAATTATCTCAGCAAGAATTTTCGAGGCTTTCGTTTTCAAAAGAAAGTAGAAACGCAATGGGAAATGGAGAATATGATTTGGGTGAAAGTGAAAATGGTATTGGACGCGAAAGTGAATTTGAGAAAAAGTTTAGTGAAAACGAAATAATTGACAATAGTGAAAATCTAAATAAATATTTTTTGAATAAAAATAAAAACAACCAATTTTATTTGGAATATAATAGTAACCCATATCAGAGAAGCGGTGAAAATTTTAAAAGTACTAAAAATTTAAAAATTCCCAATTTCATTACCAATAAAATAAATATCGATAACAAGGCAAAATCAGACAATGAAATAATTTTTAAAACGTTCCTCAACAAAAATAATTCTCAAAGTGAAGTGACAAATCAAAAACAATTTCCGAAAAATAATAAAAATAAAGACTCAGTTTTTAGTACTAAAAATGTTGAGAAGACCAAAGGTATAATGTATGAGGATATCGGTAAAAGTTTCCCCCAAGAAAATCTAGAAAATTATTATTTCAGTGACACATCCCTCAATTTGCGGCCCGATTCATACAATAATGACAATTTAGTACAACATCAAGAGAGTACTAAAAATATAAAATCCCAAATGTTCAATAAATTAAATCAACCCCCAGAAATAAGAAATTTTCAATTAAATTCAAATTTAATAAATCAGATAAATAATTTAGTACAGAACGATGTTAGTGAAACGGAGAGTACTAAAAGTGAATTAAATTCTTGGGAACACAAAAATGATAACAATTTCAAAATATTTATTGAAAATCCTGCCAATTCACAAAATGTTATAAAATCACAAAATTCGTTTCCAAGTACAGAACGGAAAAAGCATTTTCGTCATGTGAATAATCATGAAAATGTAATACCAAAAAGTAATTCAAACTTCCTAAGTGTATATTCCGATTCAATAACCAATTTAAATCAAAATAACTTTAATAAAATTTTGAAAAACAAAGAATTCGTACGAACCGAAAATTTAGTACAAAATGCAAATGTGGAATCGGCCAATTCTAAAGTAAATGAAAACGACGATAATATTAAAACAGTCACTGAATATGAATACTCTTACCCAATTAATTCAAATTCACTAAAAATATTTAGTGAAAATGCAAATTTAGTACCAAAAGTTAATACTGAAAATATTGTTCTAAAAGAACTTTTTAATCTTGAGAGAGCCAGTAAAGTGGAAATAAATTTAAAACTTCCTTATGAAACTGGAATTTTTGAAAACATTGATACAGTAAAATTCGAACCAAGTTATAGAACCAAAAGTCCGGAAACTCGTTACAATAATTTCGACCCAGAGAAAGAAAAAATAAACTTAAAACTTCCCAAGGAAAACAGAATATTTGAAAATATTGACGTTTTGGAAGTCGAACCCAGTTTTGGAGCAAAAAATCTAAAGGCTCGTAACAACAATTTCAATTCACAATCTAATGAAATATTGGTTATAATACCTGAAAATACAAATTTGTACAATTTGGAGAGTTTCCAACCAAGTACTAAAATACAAGCAGCGAGTACTAAAACTAAAAATTTAAAACTACACCAAAAGCAAATCAAAACTAATTTTTACAAACCTACTGAAAGTGAAATATTAATGACTGTGGACATGGACTTTCAGCCAAGTACTAAAAAAGAAAATTCGGAAATTTTCAAAAATTTAGAAAATGAAAATTTGCAGAAGACTATCTATCTGGCGGATTCCTTACCAAATATATTAATTCCAAGTACTAAAAATGCGAACTATGAAAATTCAGTGATTTTCGGCAATCCGTTATTCAATACCAAAAATGTGGTTTCCACCGGAAACATCGACCAAAAATTGAATGATATCATCATCGAAAAGTCTGCTGTATTTTTGGAGCCGAGTACTAAAATTGTAGTACCAAGTACTAAAAATCAAAAATCTCCGAAGGAAATAAATTACATAGAAAACATCTTCAATCCATTGCTTTATTCCGAAAATGTGGTTTCTAAAGAAAATGTATGGTTTTTAGAACCTAGTACTAAAAGCTCGATACCAAGTACTAAAAATCCTAATTCTCCAAATATAAAAAATGAGTCATGGAATATTAATAAGAATTTAAAAAATGAAAGAACAAGTGAAAGTGAAAGGCATATGAAGTCAAGTACTAAAAAGATCAAATTTAGTACTAAAAATGAAAATTTAATACATTTTACACCAAATACTGAAAATCTAATACTTAGTACAAAATATAAAAACTTAAAGAATAATATTCCGTTCAACGATGTTTCTATAACTCTGGATGTGTTTGGTACTAAAATCCCCAAATATGGTACTAAAAATAAAAATTTAGAATTCTTTCTTCAAAACATGGAACAAAAATTGCAAAATGGTGTCTCGAAAAAGAGTGGGGTATATTTGGAACCCAGTAGTAAAATTTTAGAACCAAGTACTAAAAATGAAAATTCGTTAAGAGATACAAGTGAAATAGAAAAACCTCTCACAATGCTATCTAATATCGAAAATATGGGTGTTAGAGAGAATATATTGATTTTAGAACCCAGTATTAAAATGCCTATGGCAGATACTAAAAATATGGCAACGGGAAAAAAGAAAAGTGGTATTGAAAATTCAGTAAAAACGCCCGTCAAATTAAATAATTTAAAAAGAAATGAAGATAAAATGCAAATTAAATCAAGTACTAAAATTTTAGAACCAAGTACTAAAAATAAAAATTTCGAACTTTTCCATAATGAAATGGAAACAAGTTTGGAGAGCCCAATAGGCAAAGATTTTTTAATAAGTTTAAATGCTGAAGACGATAGCCAAGGTAAAGAATTGAAAAATAAATTTAAGTTCAAATCGAGTACTAAAAATTTAAAAATGACAAATGTGAATGATGAAATTGGAGAAAATAAAAATGGAGTGGAAACAAATTTCAAGCAATCAGTTGGGATGGAATCGGAAATCGATCCTAAGTCGAGTACTAAAAACGAATTTTCAATTGTTTTTCAAAATAAATTGGAAAATAAAAATCGGAAGATCCAAGGTTTTGATAGTGAAACGAATAACAAATTGGAAAAGGCGAACAAAACGGAAAATTTAAGGAAACCAGACAAAATTTTGAAAAGTATTGAAAACTTCCAAATTACTTCTCCCCATGAAAACAAAGCTCCAAATAATGAAGTGCGGTCCAGTATAAAATCAAGACAAGAAAATTCAAATAACATTTTTAAAACGCCAAAATTTGAATGCAAAAATTTTAAGAATTTCGAAAGAAATAAACCCTTAATGGCTCAAATAATAACAAATTTAAAGAAGACCCTTTCCGAATTGAACCCAAAATTGAAAATAAATCCAAGTGAAATATTAAAAGTCTCCATTGAAAGAAGTTTAAATCCGGATTTTCAAAGTGAACTGAAGGAAAAACTCAAGTTACTGCTTGGGAAAAATATTTTGAATTTAAGGAAAAATTTGCTGAAAAATAAAATTGAAAATAAAATGTATTCAAATTTACCAAAACGTATCCAAAGTGAAAATTATCCAGTTTTAAAGAAATTGAATCAAAATCGAAATGAAATCATAATTTCGAATAAAGATAGCCAAAAGAGTGTTCGTTACTTGCATAAGAGATCGGCAAGTTACCCCAACTCTAGCAGCCTTCAAGCAAAGCCCAACTCAAACACCCTTAAACCCAATGCAAGTAAGCTCAAACCAAGTGCAAGCAACCTCAAACCCAATGCAAACCACCTCAAACCCAATGCAAGCAACCTCAAACCCAATGCCAGTTTACCGAAATTTGTTAAAAAATCCTCGATGAATTCAACTGGAATTCAAAATTCAACAGCGATCCCTGGAAATTCTCTCAACAATTCAACTCAAAATCCAAATTACTCAACTAACAAACTTCCCATAACCGCAAATAACAGATCCACAGCCAATGCCAAACGCAGTAAATTCAAAACCCCATTGAATATCACCAAAATAAAGGACCATAAAAATCGAAAATCAAATTCCACTTCCAAACGGAGAAAATCCGCAACAAAATCCAAAAAAAAACGTAAATCTCAAAAACCAAAACCCTCGAAGATACCTAACCTAAAAATCAACAACTCTACTAATTCGAATACAACTCAGACTGAAACCACAACATCGAGGTCCACAAAAGAGACGGGTGGCAAGAGAAGTAAACTCAGCAAGGATGAAGATGAGGATTATGATTTTTTCGATGCCGGAGGAGGAGTACCAGCTGATGATGATGACGACGATGAGGAGGAGGATGATAGTGAAGAAGAGGATGACGACGATGAGGATGATTATGGAGATTCCTATGAGTCCCTGGAGGAAACAACCCCCATAGAGGAAAATGTTAGCTCCGCTGAACCGGAAGCTGATTTTGGCGCCCTACCTGAAGAAGCGGAGCAGCAGCAAACTACTAGCTATGAACCTGAACTAAAACCCATTACAAATTCCTATGAAGAGTCCACAAGTCAAACCAAATATGATCCACCCAAAGTGGATTTTCGGAAACGCATACGAAGACGTCCCGGCACCAAACGACCCTCGGACAATGATTACGAGGACGACGATGAGGAGGGAGATGATGATGATGGTGTTTCCGGTTTGAGCAGTAATTTGGGTGGATTTTTTCGCATGATCTTCTATCCCGTGCAAATGGTGTTTTCCAGCATCATGGACACATTTGGTGCAGGTGGCAGTGATTTAGATAACCGAAAACCAGCCATCGGTTCTGCCTACCCATATCCCCAATACACCTCATATCATAACACTTTGAAACAACATTCCAATGATGATTATGTCTACGATGATGAAGATGATGACATCGATGACTATGACGGTGACTCCGGTGAATCCTCACTTACCGGTTGGTTTAGTTCTCTGTTTGGTTTCAATAGACGCAACAAGAAAATTACCAGTACCACAATTTCGCCGGCTGCTGCTGCTGCATCTTCACATAATAAACCCGGCAAGACATCAGGCAACTGGTTTCAGTCGTGGTTTGGTTTTGGCAATTCTGATGGTGTGGATAAAACCGATTCCATTGTCTATGAAGATGAGAGTGAATATGATAGTAAGTATTTGTTGTTGTTGTTTTCGTTCCTAATACATCCTGTGGCACCCAACATTGTATCTAAATAATTGCCCAGTCATAATAATATTGCACATCAAAGTTGTCACAGTTTTTTTCCATATCTTGCCTCAAAGTGACACTAATTCCCCATTTCCAGTTAGTTGTCATTGTCAGATTTAGCCATTTAGTTTATTGAACGTGTGTCGCATTAAATATCAAGTTATTGGATTGTTTTCATTTTTATTGAATGGGGAAATAGTTTCCAGCCAATCAACTGGATACGGCTGGAACCTGTTTGGTATTGCCCCATACTGGTATGGATGCATGAGTTACATTGCATTGACTCTCTCGGTGACAGGAAATCGCTGAAGGAAAAATTAAAACACTCTCGCTTTATTGATGTGACAAAGAAAATTCTGGTCCGCAAAACTGGAGCAGAGTTTAATGGCTTAAACGTCGCTTTTATTTATAGAAGCACAATGTGTGTCACATTAAAAAATTCAAACATTTCATCGAGTTTATACTCTTGAATTTATAGTTGACCTGGACATGACCATATATCAAGAATAGAGGATCAATAATTAATTTTAACTTTTTAAAGAAGATCTGTAAATATGAATTTCTGTAGAACGTCGAAAGACCATCTTTTAGAAAACCCATATATCCACTTAAAGTCGTTCTATAGATCTTCTCATATCAAATGTCTAAACCTTTTTATAGAAGATCTATAGATCGTCATTTAATGACAATTTTCATATCGTTTTTAGAAAATTTGTGAATCCTTTTATAAAGGGTGATTTTTTAAGAGCTTTAGGAAAGTTGTTCAAAAAACAAGTTAAAAAGTATCCGTCGGTTTGGCCGACAGATATATACCCTCAGCCAATGATCGATTATTTAACTATATTTTGACTTCTGCTACGATTATTTAAATATGTTCCGAAGAAATTGACCAATATTGTCCACTTCGTACTGCGACATGCCAGTTTTCGACTATTTTGGTTTTTATTTTATCATTTTTAGAAAATGTTAAAATATGCGTGAAATTCCAAACATAATTTGTGACCCTTTGTGGTTGAGAGTTGGAAGATATCTATCATCTTCACAACAGATCTTGCGTTTGGTTATGTGAAATTTCAAGAGAACCGGATGCTTATTTCGGATTTTTGATCGTTTAGGTTATTCAAAATTTTGACCCTTTGTGGGAGAGGTACCAGAAGGAATGGTCCGATCTCTACCATCTTTATAACAGATCTTGTGTTGATAGAAATATTGAGATGTGCCAAGTCTGAATGTAATCGGATATTAATTTGGGGTTTTATGAGATTCATGGTTATTCAAAATCTTTCCCATTTATGAGGGAGGTATATACATCTATCTTACATGAGACCTTGGATTAATAAAAATATTGTGTGTAATTTAAAAACAATCGGACTTTTACATCATATTTTATAAGAGTTGTAATTATTTAAATTTTCGATTTTTTGTTTTTGAAAATTTCGACCTTTTGTAGGAGAGGTACCAGAAGGAGTGGTCCGAGATTGCCCATCTCCGAACTCGATTGAATTTGATAATAATATTACGATGTACCAAGTTTCGACCAAATCGGATACTCTCTTCGAGAGTTTTCGAGCACACCAGCCAGACAGACGAACGGACGGACGTCGCTAGATCGACTCTAAATGTCCTGAAACGGATTTGATCCAAAGAGACATGCTAAACTTCACACATTCCAATATTACTTTCCCACAAAAGTTCAACATTTTGATTACCATTTACCTGCATAAAATTGAATATAAATGTTCGATTTTCAGTATCAGATGGAGTGAAATACTTCGGTTCCCTATAAAAAAAACTATCACACATCTCATAAAATCTGAAGAAAGTAATCGATATAGCACAAAGGTGACACGTTGTAATATTCGTACCAGCCTTATGTAAGATATTGGGCAACTCCTTCGGAACAATATCCAATTTTTCTATACAAAACTTTTTCAACGTCTCCATATGTAAACTCAGAAACCAACATTTCCCTTTACGCAATGCCAAATTTATTAACATTTAGAACTGATATTCAAAACAATATACATCTATATCTCCATCCTAGTCACCAACAGTGTTTCAAATTTAGTACTATTTAGTACTTTCCGTACAAATATAGGATGCATTTCCAAACCACCGCCAAACCTCAAACACAAATACCATCAGTAAACTAAATGTCAAATTTCAGAATTTTGTTTATATCCCTTCATCCAATACTAAATTTAGTACTATTAAATTGTTTTCGTACTATTGTAGTACACATTTCCAAAACCAGCTCCTTTTCTCAACCACAGACACCAACAGAGACCTAAATGTCAAATTTCGGGATACCAGCTTTATATCTTTATCCGATACCCAATTTAGTACCAATTAGTACTTTTTAAGTTATTATAGCATTTCCAAAATCACCTCCAGACATCACATCTCAATTTCAGACACAACATAGACCACAATATCAAATTTCAAGGTTCCAGCCCTAATCCTTCAACCAATACCAAATTTAGTACCGTTTAGTACTTTTCGTATAAATATAGGATGCGTTTCCAAACTCCCGCCACCACCAAATTTCAAACGAAACCATACCATCAGTAATCTAAATATCAAATTTCAGAATTTTATATCCATTCCTTCACCCTATACCAAATACTAGTACTATTTCGTACTTTCGCTACAATTATAGTATACATTTCCGAAACTACCTACATATGTACACATTTCCAAAATCATCTCTTTATAACAAACTTTGGTGGTAGGTTTGATAGTGCTCGGTTTGTAGATCTAAATGCCAATAAAGTTTGAGGTCCTAAGGGCAAAAATTTATAAGGTTTTTTATAAAGCCTTGACCATTTACAAATCCCAATATTTTGAGATATGTTTTGCATTATTTATGATAAAGCCTTGAACATAGAGAACTTTGGATAACATCAAGAATCATTGGCTAAAAAAATGTGTCAAGTCGGTCGACTTTTTGCCTTAGTCCCTATTTAAGGTTAACTCCAATTTCATTTTTTTACGTTTTCATCATATTTTCTAAATTTTGGTAAATTATGTTCTTATTATGTCAGCACGCTACTAGAAAAGATATCAATATTGGTCCCCGTTTTGGTACAACCCTTGTCTAAAAATGACCACTAATTTCGTCCGTCTGCCCAGGTGTTTTTGTAAGCAAAGTACAGGTCGCATTAATTGCCCGATCGAGATTAATTTTTTCACAAATCATTTGTTGGGCCCAAGGACGAAAGCCATTGACATTGCAGATAATCGGTCAAAAATTAGATATAGCTCCCATATATAGTCCCAATAGGATGGAATTTGGCACATACGACCAAATTGAGCATAGAATATGTAAAATCGAAATCGGTTCAGATATAGCTATATCTCTCATATATATTGTTCATCCGATTTGTTATTTTTCTTTTTCACAGCCGTAATATGCACTCTGTAACAAAGATATTCGGAGAAATACAGCTCAGAGATACCTTTGCCAAATTTTATCCAAATCGATTCAGGTTTGGATGCAGCTACCATTTATATCTTTAAACGATTTCAAGTTTTTGTGGTTAATGCAAGTCGGAATGGAATGAATTTTTACACATACGAACCAATTCGGCCTAGAAGAAAGTGTATCAAATTTGGTGAAAATCGGTTAAGACATAGGCATATGTCCCATATATATGTTTCATCCGTTTTTGTATTTAAGTCCTTCACACCTGTAAAATGCTCTCCACATCAACGATATTTGATGTCAGCTATCAGATACAGCACAGAAATACCTATGCTAAATTTTACAGAGATCGATTCAAATTTAGATATAGCTTCCGTATATATCTTCTTCATTCGATTTCATGTTTATGGTGCCTAAAAAGTGAAATATTAGCTCAAATAGAATGGATTTTTATTAATATCAGGTTTCGATAAAAATGACTCCGCAAATTTAGTAGAAATCGATTCAGAAGAGGATTGCCTCCGATATATTAGTTTCTTTCTAATATAAATTATAACTATAATCAATGTTGGTAACAATGTTTATTTGTTATGGGCAGCACTACTAAATATACAAAAGGGGTCATAAAATCGACTCCGCCCAACATTTGGCCTTCTTTACTGGCAGAGTATATGGATTCCTTGAGCTTAGATAAGTTTTAGACTTTTGTCCTGTCTTCTGGAAGCCATAGTAGAATTTTATGAAAATAATTTTGTAGAATATTTTGACAGGCTGCGTACGTCCTTGTTTATAGGGAGTTCTAACCAAATTTTGACGTACCAAAAAGGCCCCTTTTGTTGACTCGCTTGGGAGTTACCATAGTTGACCCAAAATAATCCTCGTATTATTATCTGTAATATTCCAAAATACACTATATACTTAAAATTAAACCTATCCGGAGGTATCTTAATCCGCAAAATCCAAAAGTGTGAGAAGAGAGAAGAACTTGCCCCCTCTATTTTGGTTAATTTGCGTTGTAATATTTCAATACGCCGTTACACGTGTCTTCTATTTTTAGCTCCACTTTCCAGTAATCATAAAAAAATTAATTTTGTCGTACAGCGTTAATTTTAATACTAACAACATTCTACTTAGCCTAACATAATTGTTTCTTATCCCTAGACAGTTTAAATTATTCTAATTGCATTTTTTAGTGGAACTCCAAGAAGTGACATAGTTTACCTTATTCTTTTTGTGTAAATAACAGTTACGATTCTCTCACTTTCCATTTGGGCGAGACTTGGTTGAAAATTCTATGACAACACGAGTCGTCTTATATAATTATTTATTATAACATGTATGCCACACGACGGTGCTAACAAGTCGCGATTTGGCCACAGTGTAAAGTTGTTAGCCTGAATTGGGCTAGAACCACTTTTTTTTTTTTTTTTTTTTTTGAGAAGCAACAAGTAGTATGCATATCCAAACTGGTAGCTAAATACCATCCCCTGCCCCTGCTCCTCCTTTTCAACCATTGACAGTAGCTGTGATGGCATGTCAAGCATAAAATAAACGCTTAATGGCGAAGACATCATAGAACTTGGTCACACACCAATAAAATTTACAAGCACTCCACTCCAGAGCGCACTTAGATTCTCGGGTTTTGGGTTACAAAGGTTACGCTTTCTCCAAACGCTTAAATATTTAATGTTCTGGCTTGTTTAACAACAACTTATGATTATACCCTACACCACAAGGTCAGGGGGGTCAGGGTATTATGTCTTTGTGCATTTGTTTGTAACAGGCAGAGGGAAACGAGATAGACCCATAGTTCCTTTTGATGATCTGCATAGAATCACTTTCTGAGTCGATTTATGCATGTCCGTCCGTCTGCCCATGTATTTTTGTAAACAAAGTACAGGTCGCACTTATTGCCCGATCCAGTTGAAATTTTGCACAGATCATTTGTTTGGCCCAAGGACGAACCCTATTGAAATTGGAGATAATCGGTCAAAATTTAGATATAGCTCCCATATATATCTTCTTCCGATTTGCCTTTTATTGTGCACCAAACGTGTAATATCAGCTCGAATTGTATGGAATTTTGCATATACACCCAAATTAGGCCTGGAAATATGTATGCCAAATTTGATCGAAATCGGTTCAGATATAGCTCCCATATATATTGTTCATCAGATTTGATTTTTTGTCCACCGCCGCCGTAATATGCACTCTTCAACAACAATATTTGGGGAAATATATCAAATACAGCTCAGAAATACATTTGCTAAATTTAATCGAGATCGGTTCAGATTTGGATATAGCTCCCATATATAACTTCGTCCGATTTACCTTTTATTGTGCACCAAACTTCTAATATTTGTCCAAATGGGATGGAATTTGGCACTTACGACCGAATTGAATCTAGAAGCTAGTATGTCAAATTTGGTGAAGATCGGTTCAGATATAGATATAGCTTCCATATATATTATTCATCCGATTTGTTATATTTGTTACCCACAACCGTAATATGCACTCCGTAACAACGATATTCAGGGAAATATATCAAATACAGTTCAGAAATATCTTTGTAAGATTTTATCGAGATCGGTTCAGATTTGGATATAGCTCCCATATATATCTTTATCCGATTTCAAATTAATTGTGCACCAAATGGGCAATACAATTCCGAATTTAAAAGATACAAATGCTTCGGCATATTTAGTCCTTTGAACTATAAATTATAATTAAATCATAGCGTGTATGATTGAATTCTCCCATATGTTATGTGGAGCTCTACTAAATTAGCAAAGTGGTGTAGAGTATCATAAAGTCGGCCCGCCCGACTTTAAGACTTTCTTTACTGGTTTTTTATTATTTTTGTTTTTTTTTTTTAATTTTCCAACAATTAGAATGGTTTTCCAGTTGGTTTGGTGACATCAAACCAAAAGCTCGCAAGCGGACAACGACTACAACCACCACAACGACACAGCTGCCACAGGTACCCATACTGACAATTGTCGATCCGATGAGAAATCCCCAAAATTGGATTGGTATTTTGGCCCATCATATCATCAATCAAACTTCGACCACAACCCAGAGTCCCTTGAAAGAGATTTGGTCGAGGGTAACATCTCCCGCAACCACAACAACAACTGAAAATCCTGATATTCCAAGGAAAATATCCTATAATAAATATCAAATATGGCGTCTCAAGCCTCAGGATGATTCACAGGTCCAGGCCCTGGAGGATTACAAGAATAGCGATGAGGGCAATAAACTGCAATGGCTGAAGGGACCGAGTTTGAGGTGAGTGGGATGATAATTGATGTTGAAAATAAATTTATAGATAATTTATGCGGTGCCCCGGGCATATTCCCCATAATTGTAATGGAGATTATGTCAGATTTTTTGGCCATAACCACCATGGGGAGTATGCTCTCAAAAATTATAAAGCTTAGAAAAACGTAGACGGCGTTAGACATACCCCAGAGCAGAAAAGCTCAAGCCCCGGCAAAAAGCCAACAACTTAGAAATGTCATAGTTTAGAAAAACTATGGATCGCGTAGCCAGTGTTGGGCATACTCCAGAGGAGAAAATCTCAAGCCACGGGCGAACTTAGAAATACTCTGGAGTTTAGATACATTTAAGTGTAGAAAATCATGATTAATATACCCTTGTAACACCTCGAAATATACATTTTATACCCCTTTGATCAGCATAAAATTCTATGTCGAATTAACGATGACCGTACGCCTACCTGTCTGTCCATCCGTCTTTCTGTGGAAATCACTCTAACTTCCGAACGAATTAAAGTAGGTTGATGAAATGTTACTCAAATGTGTGTTTTGTCGGCAGGACTTTCGGTATTGAAAATGGGCTATATAGGTCTACGTTTAGTTACAGTCCCCACATAACTGTACCTCCATATATTCGGTATTTTTATGATTTTAGCGACACTGTTTACCAGATTCATTTCAAATTTCTTACTGATAGTTCGTAATGGGTATTACATCATGTGACAGAAAATTAGCTATTTAGGTCCATGTCTTCGTATGGCCTTCGTATGGCCCCCATATAACGGTACCTCCCGATATTCGGTATTTTGAGGATTTTAGCGACATTATTCATTGGAATTATTTCATATTTCGTATTCCTAATGGGTACTTCAGTCTATGACACAAAATTGTCAATGCAGGTCCAGGTCTTCGTATAGCCCCCATATAACGGTACCTCCCGATATTCGGTATTTTGGTGATTTTAGGCTGAATACTTCAGCCTATGCCAGAAAATTGTCTGTGCAGGTCCACGTTCTCGTATAGTCCCCATATATCGGCACCGTCCTATATTCGGTATTTTGATAATTTTAGCGACACTATTCATCGGAATTGTTTCATATTTCGTATTTGAAGTTCCTATTAGGTACTACAGTCTGTGACAGAAAATTGTCTATACAGGTCCAGGTCTTCGCATAACCCCCATATATCGGTACCTTCCTGTATTCAAGTTTTTAATGATTTTAGCCATATTATTCATCGGAATTCTTTCCGATGTTGGAAAGGGGAACTACAACCTACGACTGAAAATTGTCTATGCAGCTCCACGTACTCTTATAGCCCCATATAACGGTACCTCCCGATATTCGGTATGTTGACGATTTTAGGGATATTATCTACCAGAATTCTTTCAAACTTCGTATTTAAAGTTCGTAATGGATTCCTTTAGCCTATGATAATATAGCCTCCATATTACGATTTCCCTTTAAGCGGTATTTGTCGACGAAATTTTTATGAAATTTTTCAAGATCCTTCAAATTGGTGGTGGGTATTAAAATTTCGGCCCGGCCGATCTTAGGTGCTTCTTAATTTGTTATTACTAATATATTCGGAACTACAGGAGATCGCAGCCCATTTGCCAACATTTTGGAAGGGCAAGAAGCTATAATGTTGTTTTTAAATGGATACATTTTCGAGGGATTTTTCAAAAAGTTCCGCTACAAAATTACCAATTTTCTTGTATTACTCCGGAACCGGTTCAAACATCCATCATATGACAACTTATTGGACAGGTATTCCCATATGCTTTCATATGATTTTGTATCCGAACGTTCGGGTCGAATAACCGGGTAACCAGGTATTTTCCCCAAGAAAAAATTACTTTGCTTTAATCAGGTTAAAAATACCTATCCCAGTATGGGATTTATGTTCGCTTCTTTTTTGGACAGGTATTCCCATATGCTTCCAAATGATACCCATTTTGTACCCGGATAGAACCCAGATTTTGCATCAAAACCTTCGGGTCGAATAACCGGTTAACCAGGAATTTCCCCAAGAAAAAATTACTTTGCTTTAATCAGGTTAAAAATACCTCCTCATAATGGGGTTTATGTCCGCTACTTTCTTTTCGATTATGATCGATTTTCCACGACATAATTCATGATCGTCATAATAGTAATGGGTATTATGTCCGTAGGGATTATGACACGGCACCACTTTAGGCACCTCATAAATGTTAATAATTTATTCAATTTTTAAAAAATAATATTTGATTTCTATTTCCAGAGGCCTCACCGACGTTTTGGTTCCACCCCGCATGCTAAACGATTTCCAGACTTCCCTCTCCTTCGAATCGATAGATCATGAAGTTTTAATTTTTGATGTTGGCAAAGCCATTGCCTATGAGAAGTCCAAAGAAGATTATCTCCTTACGACGACACAGAGTCCCAAGAAGCGCCATAATACCAATCGTTTTGCCAACAACAACAACAAACCATTGGCCATGACCTGGATGCGTTACTATGAATTCGATGATATTGTTACATATTTGGAAAATATGCGAATGCGTTACCCGCAGCTGGTCGAGCTGATACACATTGGTCGTTCGTATGAAGGTCGGCCCCTGATTGTTATGAAAATTGAAAGTAAAGAAGCCGCCGCGGCGAATTCGGCAAATCTTCAAACGCACGAAAAGGCCAAGTTGAGGAATAAGAAGAAAATCGGAATTGCCAATGCGGTGTTTATTGAGGGCGGAACACACGGGGCCGAATGGATTGCACCGGCCACGGCGACTTGGATTATCAATGAACTATTGAAGACCATGAAAACGAATAGTGAGTATTAAAAGTCGATGAAAGTTGTTGAAGTGGAATTTACTGACTATTTGACTGAATGACTGACTTAACGATTCATCGACGCCCAGGCGAAACGGCTGAAACTAGACTCTTGAAATTTTGGGTGTAGTTTTAAGTGGTACTATATGGTACCCATTGTATTTGAGGAAGCAGTAGAGCTAGAAAATTTGGAATGAGGGTCACTGATGGAGTGTATGATAGATGTAATAAATGTTTTTTTTTTTTTAAATTCGTACTATAAGTGTACGAAAAGTACTACATTTGATACCATTTCATATCATGTGAACAATTAGAGCTTAAAACTTGAAATTTGGAATGGAAATCAAGGTTGGGGAGTAGAGTCGATTTAAGGAGGCAGTTTTGCAATAGGAATTCAGAAATTTGAAATTAACACTTAACATTGTAGGTTTTCGAAATTCGTACTTATGTGCACGAAAAATATTAAATTGTAATAAATTTGGCACAATTTCGGTGAACCGATAGAGCTGGAATTCTGAAATTTAGCAATAAGATTACTATTGCTTTTTAGGACTGAGGAATGTAGGCTTGGTTGGATGTTTTGGAAATTTGTACTTATGTGTACTAAATGGTACATAAATTTGGTACAATTTAAACTTTATGAAAACCGGTAGTGTTAGAATTCTGAAGTTTGGATATAAGATTTTTATTGGACTGAATGATGCAGATAGTTTTGAGATTCGTACTTATGTATACTAAATGGTACTAAATTTGGTACAATTTGGGTGAACCGATAGAGCTGGAATTCTGAAATTTAAAAATAAAATATCTATTGAACTGTATAATGTAGGTAGTTTTGAAAATTCGTACTTATGTGTACTGAATGACACTAAATTTGGTACAATTTAAAATTTTGGGTGAACCGGTAGAGTTGGAATCCTGAAATTTGAAAATAAGATTACTATTGCATTCTAGGACTGAGGAATGTAGGTAGTGTTGAAAATCCGTACTTATGTGTAATAAATGGTACTTAGTTTGGTACAATTTAATTTTTGGGATAATCAATAGAATTTGAATCCTGAAAATATAAAATAAGGTTTCTATTGGACAGTATGATGTATGTAGTTATGAAATTATGTACTTAAATGTACTAAATGGTAGTAAATTTGGTACATTTTAGATTTGGGTGATCCATTGAAGCTGGCATCCTAAAAATTGGAAATAAGATTATTGTCGGAGTGTAGGATTAGGATAAGTAGGTAGGTTTGGAAATTTGAACTTAAATGTACCAAATTTGGTACAATTTGTATTTCGGCAAACCAACAGGGGTGGAAACTAAAAAAAATTGGAATTGGGATTACTGTAGGAGAAAAGAATTGGGGTATATAAGAAGCTTTGAAAATTCGTACTTATGTGCAGTAAATGATACTAAATTTGGTACAAATTGGAATTGTAATGGAGATGGAATTCTGAAATTTGTAATGAGAGGCACTGTGCCGGAGATGGAGTGCCGGATAGATGCACCAGAGGGTTATTGGAAATTCGAACTTTAAATTTAGGAAATGTTCTAAAATTTTACTAAACTTTTAAAACGGTACCATTTGGTATCATGTGGGAAATTTTGTATTGGGGTTCCTGCTGGTAGTAGACTTGTGATTAAGAGGTGGTTTTGGAAATGAATACTATTAGCGACGAAAAGTACTAAATAGTACTATATTTGGAAAAATTTGGAATTGGGTAAATATATAGCGCTTGAAATCTGAAAATGTAGTGTAGACTTTCTGCATGTTTAGCCTGGACATACGGTTTGGTTTATGTGTACTATAATTGTACAGACGTACTAAATGTTACTATAATTGCTATTGGGTAAGGGAATAGATATAAAATTCTGAAATTTAATATTTAGATTACTGATGGCATATGTGTTTGAAATGCGTTATATATTTTTACAAAATGGTACCAGATTTGGTATTGAATGAAGGGACAGAGCTCTGTTGGTGTACTAAATTTGGTATAGGGCTAAAATCCTTAAATTTGATAGAGTTGTCACAGTTGGTGCCTCTGGTTAGGATATGGAGGAGGTTTTGGAATTGTGCACTACAATTGTACGAAAAGTACTAAATTTGGTATTGGGTGAAGTGATGGATCTGGAACCCCGAAATTTGATATTGAGGTCTCTGCTTGTATCTGAGATTGAGATTTGGTGGTGGTGGGGAAAGGGTACTATGAACGTACGAAAAGTGCCAAATAGTACTAAATTTGGTACAATTTGGTATTGAATGAAAAGATAGTGCTTGAAATCAGAAATTTCGCATTGAGGTCGTTGTTCATGTATAGCCTCGACATATGGAAGTGATAACGGATATGTGTGCTTTAATTATACGAAAAGTACAGAATGGTACTACACTTGGTATTGGGTGAGGGGATAGAGTTAAAATTCTGAAATTCGATATTTAGATCACTGATGGTATCTTTGTTTGAGATTTGGCGGGATTTTAGAAATGCGTCCTATGTTTGCACGAAAAGTAAGGTATTAAATTTGGTAGTTTTGGAAATGTGTACACTACATTTGTACAAAAAGTACTAAATGGTACCAAATTTGGTATTGGGTGAACGGTAGTGCAGGAATTCTAGATTTGATATCGAGGTCTGCTGGTTGGTATCTGGGATTGAGATATGGAGGTGATTTTGGAAATGATAGTACATACTTTTGTTCGAAAAATACTAAGTGGTACTGATCATGGATAATTGTTGGTGTCCAGGAAGGAGATATGTCATTTTTGGTTTCTGGAGTCAAAATATGGAGACTTTGAAATATTTTTCGACCGAAAAATTGAATGTGGGTCCATTGTGTAATAGTTTTACAAATATCCTCCTTGGTCAACTACAAAATTAAAGATTTTGAAAACTTTTTGGCGTAAATGGTACATATTTACCTATTATTTTTTTCCGAAAAAAAGGAAAAATGTAGAAAGTCTGGAAATTTAGTACTACATTTGAAGTTTTGATTAACAAATTTTGTCAAACTGAACAAATTTTGTATTTTGAGTACAAAAAAAGGCCTAAACACGAACTGTTGGGACGAATCTAAGGTGGACTTTTCACTGACGAAGTAGTGCGAAGTGACCGCACTTGCTAGTATAGTTATATTAATTTATACTATAAAGCGTTTTTTCAAGATTAAAAAATCTGGGGAGCGTCTAAAAGTATGCTATAAAAATTATACTGATAGTTGTGAGAAAAGCCACTTTACATATGACTATAACATCATGTGTAATCGAGTCTTAAGTCATATAAGAAAATGTCCAACAATCAAAACAATATTCGAAGAACGCTCCCACGCTCTACAGGCACCGACTTGTTAAACCCATAATAAACATTATTTAATTTGTTCAGCAGAATTTTTACTCACAAAAATTTCAATTCACATGATTATCACTTCCCCCAGAAGGATTGCCAAACAGACTGGCCAAATAGTCCACAAGGAAAACCACAAATGCTGGTGGGGATTTCCATTCACTTGGAATGCTATAAAATTTGAATTTCTCAAACATTTGACGAGCTTGTGCATCGGACATTGAACTTTTCTTCTCCACCGAAGATTTTTTGTAATATTTTGAGCAGAGGTCACACAAGGAAGTGGATGATTTGTTACTGCCACAATCCGTTGGAGATTTCTTGCCATGTTTACAGAGTGGCAATTCGGCGCCACCTTTTTGCCTGGGATTTTCTTGACCCATAAAACTCACAAAGCTTTCGGAAGAGTTTATGTCGGTGGTCGCATTGTTTGGTATTTCCAGATGAGTTACTCGCTTATTATGACCCTTAATGCCATGGTATACAATGCCAATGAGAATAATCGATAGTAGAGCCAGGGTGATTATTTGGGCCTTTCTGGAAAAAGAATTTCTAATAAAAATCCTGGATTTTGATTTTTCAAATTTTCGGGCTATTGATTTTTCATGCCCGTGGTATTACCTTCCCGATTGATAAATATACACCGCAAAGTTCCACAAATAATAGCAGACCGTTGCCCAAAATGTCAGGGCCGTCATTATAACAAATCTGCAAAGGGAAATTTCTTAATAATTTGGAAAACATTTTCCATACCTTGCACCTACGCAGTTATTCCAAAAACATCAAATAAGGCTGAATAGATATTGACTGGAGGAGATTTAGAAGCCGATCTAGCTCCCAAACTGTCACAACTCGACTCAGAATCCAAGAGATCGGGACAGCTTATACAGTTTTCTAAACAAATATCATTGGTTTTTCTTCTGCGAATATCCTGGCACTTTTCACAACTGCACGGAGGCGACTTGCAACGTAGTAATAATGATGGTCTGCAAGGAGCTGTATTTGAATACATTTTAACTGGAAATTTTGCTATTGAAATCGAATTTTAAAAAATTATTAATTTTTTAAAATTTTTTTTTTGACATTTATTTCATTTCTTTATTAAATCGTTTTTGTTATTATTTTTCAGAATCCATATCCGATGAACAGAGTCTCATACGCAACACAACGTGGTATATAATGCCGGTACTGAATCCCGATGGCTATGTCTATAGCCATGAGTATGATCGTTTTTGGAAAAAGTCACGTTCACGTCATATATCACGGCCATCGGGTCTCATCAATTCCGCCATGACATGGCTGCAAAAGAAACGGGTTCGCGACAGGGTGTGCTATGGTGTCGATTTGGATCGTAATTGGAATTATCAATGGGGGAAGCGTGGTAGCTCACGTTCGCCATGCAGTGAATTCTTTGCTGGCCCTGGACCATTTTCAGAGCCGGAAACAAAAGCCTTATCGGAATTTTTAATGGACTATCGATCACATATAAAGGTAAGATAGCCTTCGCTATTCTTTCTTTGTTGTAACCAAACTTTTATATATCTATATCTTTTTTAGCTCTACATATCTATGCAAGCATATGGGCAAATAATCAGTTATCCCTATAAGGCGAATACCACCTATGATGCTGAGCGTTTGGATGACTTTTTGGATGTGGCAATGGTGGGCACAGATGGCCTGCGAAAAAAAGGCAGTAAGACGCGATATAAAATTGATTCTACCAATGATTTGGTGGAGAATCGATCAGGTATATTTCTTTATAAATTGAGAAAATTTTTATCTCGTATTATTCAAAAAATAATTTATAATTCTACAGGTTGTTCCGATGCTTTTGTGGCCTATGATGTGGGAATACCATTTAGCTATACAATGCAATTGGCCGATAATGGTGTACATGGTTATTTGTTACCCAGTGCTGCTATAGAGTCCACATCGCGGGATGCCTTTGAAATTATATTGGCAATGTTGGATTATATATAAAATATATTCTTACTCATAATTTATTGTGTTTAATTTATTTCTATTTATTTTATTATGTAATTTATTTATTTTTTTATTTATAGTTAGTCAATGGTATTTTTAAGAAACTGTATTTAGTACTTAATATATATTTTTTTTTTTCAAACGGACGTTATATGGTCTTGGATGGAATTTCGAACATTTTTCGTTTTTTTTCCTTCATAATATTCTTCAAAAACCTCGCTTTTAACTATTCACAGGATGTTTGGGGAAAAAGATAAAAATAGTTTTGATATATTTTAAATTAGTTTTAGTCTTAGGGTTTAGAAATATTTATTAAATTATTTATTGAAACATAAAATATAGAATTTAATGACCGTATGTATTAAATTGTAATATGAAATAAATATACCATAAATCAATCAATCTACATCGAGAATAAATGGTAATATTAAATATAAAATCATAGACTAATGGGTGAAAATATTAAGTCATTCAAATATAAAATATTAAAAAATATAAACAACTGTGGTTATTTGATATTTAAAAAATGTTCCATAATTAAATATAAGTCCACATTACGTGATGACATCGAAAAAAACACACAGGAACCATCAAGTGAAATTTCTGGAAATACGATGAAATGTGTTTTCGGAGACGCTCAGATCGAATTTCTCAATCAGCCCGTTGACCATACAAGAGGTTGCTGAGAGCCACCTGCATAAAAGGCAAAACTAACTTTCTATATATACATTCATTAACGTAACAACACATAGACCAAGTTTTAAACTGACTGAAATAAACTCTACGACGTTATCTGTATATTCATTAGTTTATGAAAAAAATGAAAGGAAAAAAGTTTGGTGATAAATAAGTATAACATCATTCTCGAAATTGACATATGTTTGAACGGTATTATTTTATATGAAAGCAGAAAATTCGGGTAAATAAAAAATTAAAAGCCAAGATGTGGTAAATAATGTATATTATATTTATTTCAAACAGATAACATTATATTTGCTCTTATATTTCATATTTTTTGTTCAGTTTACAGAGGCCCGTTGTAGATTTCCTAGGATACATTATCATCCTTTTGGGGCGTACAATTAAAAAGTTATACGATGTGAAACATGATCTTTTGACACAGTAAATAAAGCATACTTTAAGGCGCTGTTTGTAAAATGCTTTATATTTTTCAATTTAACTTCATAGGCTTATATGCAAGGTTTAAAAGCCAGAACCCATTGAAACTACACCTGGCCTTATAGTGTTTCGGCCTAACCGGCAATGAAGCAACAATTCAGCACACATAATAAGTAATAGCTCTGACTTTCGTTTTAGCCGAATGAGCAACCGAAAATATATGTTTATGTCTGTGCGTTGTCAACTCGTCGAACATACAAATATACAAGTTAAAAAGTATCAGTCGGTTTTGCCGACAGACGTATACCCTCAGCCAATTTTCGATTATTTAAAAATATTTTGACTTCTGTATTGATTATTCAAATCATTGACAATGTGTGGGGTAGGTTCCGGAGGAATATATTATATTATTATAATATGGCCAATATTATCCATTTCGTATCGGATATAAATAAATATGATATAAATATTGCAACGTGCCAGGTTTTGACTATATTGGTTACTTGCTTCACTTTATATGAGCTATGTGATAATAGTCGACCTAAGTATTCCATTTTCACACTTCATCTAATACAGACAAAATATTGGTATGGGCAAAGTACAAGAAAATCGAACATTTATATACAAATTTATGCGAAATCATAAATTCCACATTAATCTTAGATTTCTGGTTGAGAGAAATATTAAGATATATCAACTTGTAAAGAATCGCTGACTTATTTCGCAAGTTATGACATATAAAGTTGTTGAAAATTGAGACCCTTTGTGGGTGAGGTACTAGAAAGGGTTCGCAGGATCATCTTCACAACAGATTTTGTTTTAGCAAAAATGGTTGTATGTGTGAAATCTGAAAAGAGCTTTCCAAAATCTTGAACCCAATATGGGGGAGGTACCAGAAGAAATATTCCGATCTCTACCATCTTCATAACAGATCTTGTGTTGATGGAAATAAATCTGAATGGACATTCAAAATTTTGACCCTTTGTGGAAGAGGTACCAGAAGGAGTGGTCCGATATAATTCATTTACACAGCAGATCTTGTGTTAGTAGAAATAATGGGATTTAATGATTTTATAACCGTTTTGGTTATTCAAAACTTTGACATTTGATTATTTGATATTTTCCATTTCCCAACTGACCTAGCAATGATGTAAATATTAGAATTTGCAAAGTTGGAGCAAACTCGGACTCGATCTAAGTTGGATAATATTATTACGATGTACCAAATCGGATACTCCCTTCGACAGTTATCGTGCGCACCAGAATGCCACACAGACAGACAAGTGGACATCGGTATATCGACTCCAATTGGAATTGGAGATGAGATCTTGGAATTGGATATGAAATCTTGGAATAAGGAAATATTACAAAGCTGTCAAATTTGATTTGAAAAACATTGCTCCCTTTAATAGAGAGTAATACGAAGATAAGCCAATCGATTAACACTGCAGACTTAAGCAATCATATTTATATAACTTCATAAAAGGCTGACCACGCCTTAGTGGCATGATCATTTATGTCGTTCGCTGAACCATTTTTAGATATTGTGCATGCAAGGTAATTGTACGATGTTATATCTTCAATAGTTGTTCCATTGATTTTCATTGGTCTTGAGATAGTTTTGTTGAAATTTTTCGTAATCCGACCTTATTTGCGTATTCGTATAAATTTCATAAGTTTTACATACATAACGGAGAAGTTGTTGTGCCAATAGACAGATGACATCCGCGTAAACAATATCACCAAGAACATTTGTTAAGATCCATCGTATACCATCAGGTACTTGTGAATTTGTTTCTTCCATTACCCAGTCCAGAATTATGATGAATTGCGATGGTGATAATACACACTTGTTTTAACACAAGTAGAAATCGAAACAAAAATCTTGATTTTGTTATTACTTTTTTCTTAATTCTACCCACATACTTACCGTAAAAACGTAACACACAATACTAATCAAGCATATCACGAATCATCGCCAACTTAGAAACCCATACGAATTTTTCTATAGAATAATTTTCTAAAATTAAATTTCGAAATGTTTTCACTCTGACGACCTATTCTTACATATGTTTAAATAGAAATAGAAGATCGAAACTTGAGGGAAATTACCACAGAATTTTTAATTTTATTATGCCACATAGCATAGCACATAATTAAAACAACTTCCAGAAAAGTCAAACAATCATATTAACAAAATTTGTTTAATAAACACAAACGAGTATTCCGAACTTGAGAAGTAACAAAAGTGCAGCCTCTAAATGAAAGAAATATGTATATAAAATGAAGGTTAATAAAAGAAACATTAGTAAATCATCACAAAATAAAATGAAAAATAAAAACAACAAATAAAATATATGTATGTTTACACAGGTTTCTATTGAATTTGTTTTATAATTTTTGATTTTCTTTTGCATTAATTTTTGATATATATAGTTATTATATATAAAAAAATCATATATCTATATATATTTTTTAATGTTATTATATATAGTATAGTAGTAACACTTACTTAGCATACAATGATAATAAAATTAGTATATTATGTAAATAAATGTGTGTTTACTTACAATGCTATTTTCATTTTTTGTTTATGTGTTCTTGTATCGGTTTTTACTTATTTTTGTATACGTATTATGCTGTTGTTGCTGTATCTACAAAATGTGTAAAAATCTAACATAATAAATTTGTAATTAAAACAAAATTAAAATGAAGAATTCTAACTAATTTAAAAAATAAAAGAAACTTAGTTAAAAAAAAAGAAAAAATAAAATAACAAAAAAAGTTGGAAATAAAATAAAAAAACTGCTTAAAAAAGGAAAATAAATAGTAGTTCATATTTCTTAAATTTATTAGCATGAGAATTAAATGTACAAAAATCATAAAAAAAGAGCAACATAATGATGAAAACTTGAAGTGACGAGATTGTTTAAAGTCGATTCTTAATGACTGAATGCTATCGATTCAACATCATGGAATCCTAAATCAAATTAAAGTGTCCTTTAACATCTGGAGCCATCAATGATTTAACACGAATAATGCTTGCCCGAATGAACCTCATAATATTATATAGCAATAATTGAAACCGACGAGATGGCTAATCTCCACCAATTTATTAAATTAAATTCTTTTCAATAAGATCGAAAAAATGATTTTTTTATTATTGAAGGATAAATAATGGCCCGCTGATCTATAGGTCTCATAGAAAATCAGATATGCATAGAAGACTTTATGATTTATTCCATACAAAGAACTATTCTACATGGAATTCATATCGCTATTTTAATCGAAGAGCTTCTTTGATATTGCAGGGATTTGAATTACATATTTTAAATGTTATATGACTTATTATCTTTAAAAACCAAGATGTTATTGAAATTTTGCTGTGCGTTTTATACAAATACCTTTTTTACTTTTGACTCCCTTTATTTATACAAGCGATAAAGAATTGAAATCGAAAAATACGAATAGAAATCCAAATATATAAATTTGTAATTTTAGAGCCTCACTTGGATTTCGAATTATTCCATTGATAATTTTTGGTTAGTAAAATTCTGTGTATAAAAGACTTCTCCACAGGCTTCTCAAAAGTTTTGTACATAAAGAAAACCCTTAAGCACTTTACTTTACTTCAGAACACTTCTCCGAAATATTTTGATGCCTAGACGACTTCGATTTTGATATTTTAAATGTAAACCAGTTAAAAGTCTTTGCATATGTAGAAGAGCATATCTAGAAGAGCTTCATAATAAAACAAATAAAAAATATTACAAATCGGATGAACAATATAAATGGGAGCTATGGGTATATCTGAACCGATTTTCATTTTCGTTTTACATACTTGTTTCTATGCTCAATTTGATGATAAGTCCCAAATTCCATCCCATTTGGGCTAATAATAAAAGGCAAATCGGACGAAGATATATATGGGAGCTATATCCAATTGCCTATTTGGGCTGATATAACATTTGGTGTATGGGAGCTGCATCTAAATTATGACCGATTATCTCCAGTTTCAGTAGGGTTCGTCCTTGGGTCAAACAAATGACTTTTGCAAAATTTCATCTGAATCGGGCAGTAAATGCAGCCTGTACTTTGTTTACAGAAATAAATGGACAGACGGACGGGCCGATATGCATAAATCGACTCAGCATGTGATTCTATGCAGATCATCAAAAGGAACTATGGGTCTATCTCGTTTCATTTTACCTGTTACAAACAAATGCACAAAGACATTATACACTGACAACCTTGTATGTGGTGTAGGGAATAAAGAAAAGTTTTCTACCAAAAACCAAATAGTAAAATTACAACTGAAAATCTGCAGTTCTTTCAACATTTTCAATAATTTTCAAATATATTGAAGTGGTTCTTCAAGAAACTGTTCCGAAAGATAATCAGGTTTTTGATTTGAAGAAGTAGCACAGAACTTAGTTGAACATATGACGACGAATCATTTCAGCAATTGCCAATAAATTTACAAAATAAAGATGTTTTCATTTGAGGATCTAGTTACGTACAGTCATAAAATTGTATTCGTCTATGCAGACCTAAACCTAAAGTTTTTCAAAGTTCATTTATGGTTATGAGACTGGGATGTTTTTCCAATGAAGAATATTTTTAATTTAACAAACCAATACAATTTTTTTTTTTTTTTTTTTTTTTTGTAAAATAAAGGGCCGGTTTTCATACCTAACTGGGAAAGACACATAGGCTTCTATCTCAATTAAGTAATTTCCAATCGAAGTTTTTCTCCCACGGATAATTTAAATCACATTTTTATAGACATTTCACTTTAATTATTGTTATTAAAATGTGGACTTGAATTAATTTCGTCTTCGAATAGCTTGTGTTCTAAATTCCTTGCCATATAATTGGAACTTTTACTGTTAAAACATGGATCATATTTTCCCATAGCAGTGCCCATTATTTTCAAATTTGACTTGAGTTAAAATATCATACCAAACACTTACTCACTAAATAGTTGGGGAAGACAAAACACTCTTCTTGATAGCATCCAGCAAATAACAGAGGTAGAAACGAGAAACTTTCCACTATTTCATCGGCCTTTCAACTTTTCATTCAAGCAAAGAATCCCAAATCGTTTCTTCCATGAAGACTGCGTTTGATGAAATTTATTCATTTACATTTAAAATTGTTTTCATTTAAAGTTAACGGCTTTAGAGAAAAACACTCCCTTATAGTCGTGTCTGCGTATCCAACGAAAACTGTTTCCGAACTCAAACAAATTGGTTTTGCCATGTTTTTTAATTTTAGTAATTTTACGATTTTTTGTTTTTATTTTATTATTTTATTTTTGTTTTGTTGTTTTTTTTTATAGTTTCTTTTATAATTACGAATTATAATAATAGTACTATAATTATTCATCAATTTTATTTATTCTTGTTTGTTGTGTTGTGTTTTTTTATTATATTATATTTATTTTCCTTTTTCTTGTTGCAGTTGTTGTTGTTGGTTTTTTTACTTATTTTGTTTAATGCATTTTCATTCATCATTCAAAATATGCGGAGTTTAATTTCTTTTATTTTTTTGTTTAACTATTTTTTTTTTTGTTTTGTTTTCATTATTTTATTTTGTTAGATTACCTTCCTCATCATGATTCATTTACCGAACAGTGTTTGTTGTTATTATTGTGGTTGTTTTAAAAATTTTGAAGTCTCTGTAGTGTCTGCTGGCGGCGAATAGTTGCTATTCTCAGCTCTGACTTATTTATCCAGTTTGAAAATTGGCTATAGATCATCGGACATAAATGAATTTTGTGATTTTGATTCTTCTATTCGACGTATTTGCTGGCGTAAATACATAATCCTAGGAAAAGCATATAAAAGAAGATTTATTAAATCTCCATTTGGGGTTTGCCTTATTGAATATGTTCAACTTACTTTTGTTCTTGCAATGTGGCTGTAATTTCAGTTATTCTAACTAAACTTCTCGCACATTTCAACTCGGCCGATACCTTTGTACACTGCAAATCTCCATATAAATGTGCTTCCTCTGAACATTTTTGCGCCTGTAACATAAAATGTAAGATTCGTATGTCAGTAACATTTTTTTCAAATATTAAAATTATAAATATTTAATTAAGGTATTATTAATTATAAAGAAGTAAAACAGCAATAGTTGGGCTGGAGCGACTATATGATACCCTGCATCAGTATGCATATTTAATAGAGCTCCCATAACAAAAGGATTCATTTGAAGTAGATCATAAATCCTATAAACCTTTGGCTTTAGACCGGTTATAATTTAGTTCCAGAGGGAACGTATATGTGAGAGGCATATCTAATTCTGAATCAATTTTCACTAAATTGGAAGGAAGCATTTAAATCTTTTATACCAAATAACATTGCTAAAGAGTGCATGATATCATTCAAGAAGGATTATACTAAAAAATTCATATATCGGAGCCGAAACATGGAAACAAACGTCCCGAAATTTACTCCATTAGCCAAATAATGGCACAATAAACCTGAAATCGGTTTTAGGATATATATGGAAGCTACATCCAAATCTAAGCCGATCTCCATAAAATTTGGCAAATGTATTTTCGAGCTCTATAAGACATATATATGGTACCATATATCATTGTTGTCGAATGCATATTACGAATGCGAGGGACTTAAACAGCAATTTGGATGAAACATATATACGGGAGCTATAGCTATATCTGAACCGATTTTCACCAAATTGTATGTACTTACTTCTAGACTAAATTCATCGGATGTGCCAAAATTCAGGTCATTTGGATTGATATTGGCCACTTGGTGCACAAGTAACCCGAAATCAGTTGAAGATATATATGTGGAAACTATATCCAAATCTGAATCGATCTTGGTACGATCTGGCAGAGGTATTTCTGGGCTATGTCTGATATCTGATGCCAAACATCATTAGTGTGGGCTGCATATTACGAATGTGGGGACTTAAAAACCAAATCGGACCGATTTTCACCAAATTTGATCTACTTGCTTCTAGACTAAATTCGGTTGGATGTGCCAAAAGTCAGGTTATTTGGATTTATGTTGGCCCTTTGGTGCACAATTAGCTCGAAATCGGTCGGATATATGTGGAAGCTCTATCTAAATCTGATCCGATTATCATCAATTTCAATAGGGTTCGTCTTTGGGCCAAACAAAAATTGTTTGCAAAATTTCATCACAATCGGATAATAAATGCGACCTACTTAAAAGTAACTATGGGTCTATCTCGGTTCCTTCTCCATGTTACAAACTAATTCACAAAGACATAATACCCTGTAGGGTAAAAAAACTCGTAGAAAAGGACCTCCCAAAAGAAACCTTTTTTATGGAGACTATACGAAGACGTAGTCTATTATAAGTAATTTTTGTTTTGCCGATTCCGATTACGAATACGAATTTTGAAACAATTTCGGTAATGCCGCTAAAATCACCAAAATACCGAATATCGGGAGGTACCATTATATGGGGCTATACGAAAACGTGGACCCTCATAGGCAATTTTCTGTCATAGGCTGTGTTATCCATTGCGAACTTCAAATACGAAATTTAAAAAATAATTTTTTCGCCATACGGTAATAACATCCATTACGAACTTCAACTACGAAATTTGAAACAATTCCGCAAAAAAGTGTCGCTAAAATAATCAAAATACCGAATATAGGGAGGTATCGTTATATGGGGTCTATACGAAGACGTGGACCTGCATATGCGATTTTTTCTCATAGGCTGTAGTACTATTACGAACTTTAAATACGAAATTTGAAAAAATTCCGGTAAAGAATGTCGCTAAAATCATCGATTAAGATCAAAATATGGAAAATGTGAGCTTCATAAGGTAAAATTCGAAAATATTCTATCCACGCATTTTGAGTTAATATTGTACAATCACATCGCCATGAAAAGACCATGCATAGCAGCAGTCTCATTAAGAACAGAAAAGTTCTTCATAGATCTCTTTTGACAGCAGGAGTGTTCGTGTTTTATGGGGTATATGTAATTCTATTAAATTACAAAATATATGAAGAAACACCAATCAACTAATTAACCAATTAATAATATTTTAAATTCGAAGGTTTGACCCTTTTATCAGCAAATTAGGTGAACATATTCTAGAGCAGCTATTGCAAGCCAGATATGTCAACTAATCCAAATTTGTCTTCGAAATATCAGAACATATGTCAAGGATATTGAATAGCCAACAATTACAGATTTTGTGCTAATTTTAATTAGCAGTTTCAAAAGGCAAACCAAAGAAAAAATAAAACCGTATTTAGATAATGCCAATTCACTCACCTGTTTTTCTAATTGATCTGCTGCCCAATTGGTAACATGTGTTATTAGATCGGCTCTGAAGTATTTGCTTAGCTTTGTCGAGATTTCAGGTCCTTGTGAACGACCAGCCTGTATTGAATTGGAAACACAACTTTGTAAAGTACTTAAAGAAGCTGATGTCGTACCATCCACTGTAAACACACATAGAGAATTGAAAAACATTAGAGTATTTTTAATTGCAAAACTCTGTCAATTAATTACTTACACTTTCTTTGTTGTGGATCTATTGACGAACTACCACTTAAATCTAATTCCTGTGTTGGTGTCGGTGGTCCCTCACCCGGTATAACATTCATATTAACAACATTGCTACTGCCAACTCCACTAACACCTGCACACATAACGCCTACGCCACCACTACCACCGCCACCAACAATTGCACCGGCCATATTGGGATTAGCTGATAACATTGATGTGGAACACAGTGTATTGTTGTTGCCAACATTAACAGCGCCGCCTGCCACTCCTACGGCCACATTTGTGGCAACACTCAGTGGATTCATGCCAACAACGTTATTACTATTTAAAACGACGTTGCCATCAACAGTCTTTAGTCCATAGGGATTAGTGCAGGAATATGATGAGGTGGCAGCAGCAAGGCTTGTTATGGGCATTCCGCCACTATTCACATTATTCGCATGTGCCACAGACGCTGTTGTATGCAGGGAACCGGGACCCACAGCCGTGGGCACCGCACTGCCCGAAACTGCAGATGTTGACGATGTTATAGGACTTTTACTATAGCCCATGGGTGACATACCATGGGGATGTGTTAAATTGTATAAGGGTGAATTTAAAGCGTTCTCCCTGCAAAATAAAAATGAACAATATTATTATAAAAATTATTATTAAAAATAGGACAATGTTTGGCATGTTTGTTTGGGATACCATAGTATTTTGTTGTTGCAAAATGGTCAGGCTTAATCCCATTATTGTTGTTTTTTATAAAAAACAACCTTTGTTTATTAGTGGAGAACGATGGTAATGTTTACCAGGGGTTAAGGCAGGGAATACCTAGATTATCCCCTGGTAAACATCACCATCGTTCTCCACTAATAAACAAACTTTGTTTTTTTTTAAAGCAATAACAACGGGATTAAGCCTGATCATTTTGCAACAGCAAATATATTGAAAATAGCTCGAAAGAATTGCATTATATGAATTTTTTTCCCAAAAACCTACCTTAAATTCATAACCTGCTGTGCTGATGCATGGTTATTATCACCCGGACTAGGCGATATGAGATGACCGTCAGGGTTATTTATATGATGATGAATCTGTTGTTGACGCATTAGTAAAGCCGGATCCTTGGAGCCTAGCTTTGGTGGGCCCGGAGCATTTGAGTTCAAATGATGATCCACTTGACTCGAAGATGATGGAACAGGGGTCTGCAAAACAAAATAGCCAACAATTTTGGTTAGATTCCAACATATACGAATAAATTCCAAGTACTTACATTAGGTGATCCAACAGCTCCCATATGTGATTGATGTAATGCTGTTACAGCATCCAATTTTCTATGATTGCTGTTGTTGCTATTGCCACTACTAGACAATGTATTGGCGGCCGATGGTATCGTGCCCGCTACATTTGTTGTAGCAAGACCAGTTGCGGGTAACATAGTAGCTCCACCAACCACAATGCCAGAACTGCCGCTGCCTCCTCCGCCGCCGCTGCCGCCGACAGATCCAGCACCTGTTGCTGTACTCGGACATGTGGCCGGATAATGCATTGATGCGGCAGCGCCACCTGAAGATGATGCTAAACTGCTGGCATTAACAGAGGAAGATGTCATATTACTACTAGAGGCATTGGGATGTGAAGCTAAACGAGGCAATGCATTTGGTAATACCACCGTCGTTGATGGCAATGCTTCGTCGTTGTGTTGATTGCCACCGACATATATTGTTGGAGTACCCGTTAATGAATAACTAGCTTCCGAAGTCGGTGTCGAGTCACCGGGACTAATATCCATGTCTGGATTGTCAGCCATGCGCCCTGAAAATAAGAATTAAAAATGAATTATTTAAAAATATTGATGAATTTGGAAAATTGTTGCCATACCATCAATGCGTCTTCGATGATTCGGTGGCCCACTATCATTATCATAGTTCCACCTCAGTCGGGAATTGCCTCGAGAACTGGAATGTTTATATGCTGTCCAAAAAAAAAAGAAAATCATAATTAACAATGTATGCGGTAAGCAAAGTTTGTGTTGTACATACATGATCTAGAAAAACGTTCTTCACGATCCCTATCGCGTTCCTTATCGCGATAGTCCTTTTCGCGATGTTGGTCTCGCGCCAGATTACTAAAAGACAAATGGGAACAAAATTTATTTAAATTTTTAAAATACTTATTTCTTGTATATAGTCTTTTATTATAAGGTGAGAATCGGACCTATTTGGACAAAAAAAAAATAAATTAAATGTAGGGCAAGGATCTGAAGTCAGTGCTGTATGATGGTTGAAACCCAAAATGACCAAAAGTATATAGTGTAATGTATATATCTCTTGCCCATTCAAGTTGAATTATCAAGGATATTTTGCCAAGAGTAAAATATAGAAAATATCCTAGGATTAGAATAAGTTTGGACAAATATTTGTATTATGGGAGTACCATACGGCACTGAAGGTATTTTTTTCATATTAATTACTTGACATTTAAATAACTTAGAATTGGTCTAATAAAGTTAGAAAAGGACAAGAAAATGACACAATTAGTTCTTTGTATGAATGCAACAACACCCTGACGAAAGTTGTGCTAGAATGTAACTTGATTGACGTCTTGGATGCCTTCCGTGATAGATGTGTCACGAAGGTGGATCTTCCATCACTGTGTGATGACTGAAATGACACGGCAGATACCTTTACCACCAGGAAGTGTCTAGTCAACAACAAATTACGCTGCCTGGTGGACATCATCCTGTTCTCCCCATGGAAGTGATCAAAACTGGTCATTTGAGCTCAACCGGTTGCATTAGTTTACGAGGTTTGCACATTTCTTCACTGGGTGGCACTTAGTAATGAAGTCCCGGGTAATCTCGTCAAACATTTCTAGCGTTATTTTTATCATTTCTAGACCGTTTTATCCATGATATCAGATAACAATGAAGAAGAAACACTTTCATGATTTTATTCATGGATGATACTCTTTCTAGTTCATCATGAAATAAGGTGTACTTAAGTAGGTTTAAAATAAGTTACTGATGTCAAAGAGTACTTAATCAGCCGATAGAAGTTGGTATCATTCAAAAGACTTTATCATCGCATTTTCCAATAAAGAATGTACATTCCGTACCTATCTTCAGTCTTGCCCTACATGTTTTACTTCTCCATATTATCTCTAAATGAAATACGAAATCGATTACGACTTCAACTTACCGCTCACGTTCAATCCATTCCTTTGGTTTTTCCCATTGTGAGACTTCTGTTTTACAATTATAATAATACATTTTTCCTAAAATGCGAAAATTTGAAAATATATTACAAACAAAAATATTCCATGAATTCCACCAAGAACATACCCGAAGAACTAACATGTTCACTCCAATCACCGCATCGGGCGATACGTTCACCACGATCATTACGATCGCCACTGCCGCCGCCTCCACCACCGCCACCTCGATCGCGGTCACGATCATCACCGCCTCGTGCACTGCGATCGCGATCACGATCTCTGTCCCGATCGCGATCACGGTCACGTTCACGATCCCTCAGAGAATCTCGGTCACGTTTACTGTCTCTTAAATCACGATCTCTGTCACGATCGCGATCTCGGTCACCACGATCCCGATCACGATCGTCTGAACCCGAACGTTTGTCGCCGGAAGAACAGAGCTTGGCTCCACTTACACTTCCGCCACCACGACGATCAAGCCTATCATGATTGGTGCGATGCGACTCAGAATCTCGATCACCTCGACGGTCACGTTTATCTGCAAAAAGTAAAGGAAAGATATAAAAGTATTAAAAAATTCAACTCAATCAGATTATGTGACAACTAACCTGAATATTTATCCTTTTTATAGATATCACGATCCCGATCTCTCATCTTTTGCATATAACTGAAAGGATCGCTACGTCGATGGTCGCCACGATCACGTATATCGTGTGAACCACCGTGTCCCCTCGATGATGGCGAATCTATTTCAGGTGATTGTGACCGATACGATGAACTATTGCCATTGTTTAATGGTCCACCTCCAGCCGGGGAAAGGTCGCGATCGCGATAGTTTGAGGAGCGATCGCGTTCATAGTCTCGTTTTGAACTGTATTTGGAACTCTGAAATGATATAGAAAACGAAAGGGCGGAAAAAACGTATAAATCAGTTATCATTAAATTTTTTATAGAGTTTGAAAATGATTCTAATATTATATCACATTTTCAGTTTTGGGTGAGATTAACGAAATGAAAGACAAAAAAGAGGCGCCAATATTTTCAAATGATTTCAAATATGTCTAAGTGAGGGTGATTGGTGGGCTGAGTATGGTGTAATTTGAAAACTAGTGAAGACAACATAATTAAATCTAAATGAATCCAAATGAAAAAATCCTTTACAATCGAACAAACAATAGCTAGGGTTCAAAACGAACAATGTCGCAAACATATAAATAGATATTTCGGGCAAATAACTGCTAGACCCTTGTTCGAATGTAATTGAAAACTGAGAATTTTGTTTTCTACAAAATTATATCAAAGAATTTTTTCGCAGGCTAAAATAAACAGAAAATAAAGCAACACAAAATGGGGATAAATTAGGAGAGAGAGAGAAAAAAAAAAGATAGTTTGAAAGTATAAACAAATGTGTTGTAAGCAGTGTAAGGTTCAATCTGTTATCCTGCAAGAATGACCACTACTACTTACATCTACGATGCGACACAGTCCGACAGCAGCAGCATTTTTATTACATTCAGCTGCCAGTGTTGTTGTGATATCGAGTGCAATACTATTTGTGGCAGACATAAACAACTGTGTGTGGCAGAGTAAAAGAGGAGTTTCAAATCCCCTCCTTGATTATTTTGAAGTTTTGTATGAGATCTTTTTTGTTTTACTTTTCAGCTGCACAATATGGTGAATATTCTTTTTTTTTTTTTTTGGGATGATCAATTTGACTTTGACTTTCAATTTGCTGGCTTTATCGGTTTCTTATCGCGCGTTTTGACTCAAATGAAAATGTTTTTTGATGACTAACATAAATGAGTGAGTAAAAGAGTAAAATATTGGATATTTCTATATCTATTTATTTTGAAATTCGTATACATTTTATATGTAACAAAAACAACTTCTTTCGATGATGCCATATCATCACAGAGAAAGGTGAAAGAAAAAATAAACAAATGACATGAATGATTAGAAAGAAATATATTGAAATTATTAATGACTCAGGATAAAATAGTGGATATTTACAGATAACATAAGAACAAAACATTGCAAATTTTCTAAATGTATCTTTTTGTGATGAAATTATGAAAGAATATATTAAAGAGGGTTAGAAAAAAAGAAATATTTGAAAAGGCGTTTTGGGTCATATCCTGAAGAATTTTTTTTAATTAATTTTTTCGTTAAAAATACTGATATTTTTAAAGTTTGAAATTTAAAATATTTATAATTTCCCATCAATATGGGAAAATAATAAATTTTGAAAATCTTCATGGGTTATTTAAAATATCTTCAAATGTTCTGTCAGCAGAGTCTTGCTGTTCTAAACACATGATTGCTTTTCAAATTGCTTCTTTTTTAATCTAAATATATAATAATGAAAGAAACAGTATATGTATGATCCAATTAATGTAAATGATATCGAATTACAACATAATTATAGCTTTCTGGGTATAACATAAAAATTAAGCAAGCTAAAATTATAAATCAAAATGTAAACTCACCTGATACGAATGAGATTGATGCTTCTCAAAGTAGCTGGAATTAAAAAAGGAGAGAATAGATGTTAATAATTAATAGTCAATGAAAAGAAAAATTATGCGAAGGGAGCAGCAGAAGACCACAATAGACCAAGAGGTATGAATTGAAATAAAAAAACGGAATCTATTGTAGATTATTTAAGAGGTCTATTTACAAGCATTACGATCGTCCCAAAAAACAAAAAAATACATTACAAAAGCGGTTATAAACACCAATAATTTAAATGCGACTATTAATAAAAAAAAACATCTAGACATATAATCGTCCTTGTGTCTATCCTGAAGATTTTTCCTCTTTATTATTTAAAAAAAGACCATGCTATTGGCAACCAAAAAGGGATAAATGTGCCGAAGACGTTCATAAAAGCCATTGATTTTGAGACAGCTTTTGGGTGAGAAACCCCAGACGCTGGGCATGTACTCGGCATTGTCTCTAATCCTGCTCAAAGACCTGTCATTTATGTTAACAGAGGAATTGACTAGATCACATGAAGCTTTGCAATTGTTCGAACGATCTTTATAACAAGGAAGAGGTGTTTTGTTTAGAAAATAGAACTATAGTTGCAAATCGAAGGGGAAGTGTGTTAAGTCGTATTGGAGCAAATCAATTTAGACAAAAAGAGAACTCCGACAATCTTTTTGAAAAAGCTCCACTGCTCAGACAGCACCAAGGCAGATGATATTCCTGTCTCGATGTTTCACATACAACCAAGTTTTTACTGAAGCCTCGATATAGGGCTAGGTAACACCGGAGCTATTGAAACACGGCTCCTCTTGCTAATAGGAAACTAGTACCAAGAGGGACTCCATACTAAAGGACATTTAGCTTATTCCAGTTATACAATTGATGTTCCATACTCTGCTAATCAGATTGCACTTCTAACACCAGATTCAAAAATTCAGCTACTTTAAAGGCTGTAGCCTTTAGTAGTATACGAGACGGTATACCACTCTTGGCAGACATTCCTCAATTTTCGCCCAAAACGTATTGAGACAATACTACTAGGGCTAGCCTTAAAAGGCCTGTTGATAGGCATGTCTGGGTGAAGATTACCTATCCAAGGTGATTAGGATGGCAGTATTGCAAGTATTGCATCGGCAATATTTAATTCTGCTGTCACTCCGATGGTCGACAGGTGTAATGAAGGCCAACCTTTTGCGGTTCTAAGGGCGGTGTTGATAAAATCCGTGAACTCATCAATATGAATACTACTCACACCTGCCGGATAGGCTTCTTCATTCGGATGTTCTGTCTTTTTTGCTTTTCAACTTGGTCTTTCCTGACAAGCCCATGTGGGAAAGTTCTATCCATGTCATGAGGATTAGTTGTTCTCAGGGCGGCATTCTGGTTGGTTTGTATACTTTTTCACGTCCTAGCACCATGGATAACTAACGCCTAATAGTAAAGGTGGTATGAAAACTCTGAAACTGACAGGACTATCACTTATACGATACTGAGTGCCATGAGATATACAAGACCAATGTCTGGAGAACAAAAATATGCTAGTATGTGATATTTCTTTCGAATTAATTTTAAGAAACCCAACATAGTTTAATGTATGCCATATATTTCAAGAAAAGACCACGAATCCTGATAGCTGGAAGATCTGTCTGAATAACTCCTAATCTAGTGTATTTTCGCAATGGATTCCCGGACAACTGATTTCCTCCATTCCATCTCTACAAACTGTTTGATCGCAGGACAAGTTTCTTTCTCTATTAGGTATCTATTGGGTATCCCATGTTTGTGCCAAAGTTTTTAATCGTGAATTGATGATGTATTATTCATTTAAAACACTTGATTAACTCTACACTTAAGTAAATCTAAAATCCTTTTGAACCAATATGAAAGAAACGCCACAAAATATATTGAAAACAATTCCACGGGACAGAAGAGAGCACAGGATCGGCCATCGGAAACATGATAAGTACTTCTTCAACCTATTCAGTGTTCTATTTTTCGAATATACATAGATAAAACTTTGAAAAGCTAACGTACAGAGTACGGATACTACGCCAAGTCTAAATAGTAGAATATACATGAGGATTTGGTAGTCCATAGTTGGATTGTAGGTATATTTAAACGTTGTTGTGGCCACCTTATGTTAGAATTTAGTATTCTTAGGCCGCTGAACCAGCGTTGAATCGAAAATGGTTTAACCAAATGCCATTCAATTATGTCATCGAGTTATTTAGTCGAAAAGGACCAAATTTGGGTGAATAAACCATATGCTTGAGATCATTGAACCGATGACAATCTAAGTGTAGAGTAAAGGGACTCCTTAACTCGAAACATACCAAATGCGTATATAAATAGAACCCAATGCTTAATACTTAAATAAAAAAGGGGTTCGGAAATATATTTAAGTCAGGTTGGAAGACATGAAGAAATAGAAAACAATCAGAATTGACCTATACATCAATAATAAAAGTAATTATTAGCTGCAATGAAGTCTAAATCCTTAAAGATATATTTCCGCGCAGAAGGCAAGAAATACAAAAATAATTTCAATCGAAAAGTAATCGGTTTAAGGGATTAAAAACTTTACACTTGTCACTTGATAAAACAGCTAAAAAGATTAGAAATCTGGATATCGAAATCGCTACAGAGGCTGTTACATTTGTCGAAACATCCAAAATCATTGGAAAATATGGACAAAAATGTACAAATAAAAATTAATTATACCCAAACAACTAGCAATTAAAAGTGAATCTGAGGAGGAACAGAATAACCCGTGAAAATAACACACCGCATCCGAGAAAAAATTTCTGTCTTCACACAAATTTCTACCACTTCTTTTGAGCCACAGACCTGTTTTCTAAGGGAAGAGAAGATTCGAAGTATAAGGATCCAATACACATCGGTACAACGTGAACAAAGGTACACCATATTAGAATTAATTTGGACATCCACAAACATGGTACAAATCAAGACTGGGAATAAGAAATTCCACCGTTCGATTATGAAGAGTTTAACAAATGGGACAAATGTCGATTACACCAGGCTGCGTGAGAATGAGGAAAACACTTCCTATAACATTAATCCCGCTATTATACATTCAAGTGGTTTACTGGTAAGGACACCGAAGTAAAACTTTGATTTCCTGGAAAACTGCTTCTAATGCCTCCGACACATCTGCATTACTAAACTACAAACGCCTTTTTTCGTTCTTTAATTTATAGAATTTTCCTTTAGAGGCCGATTACAATGTACTACAAACCAATAGACACGATATACATGGAAACATGGAGCCAGATTCCAAGATTCCACTATCCAATTATGCTGCTAAAGTCAATGTGCCAACACTCAATTAAATTTTGCAAAATGTTTGCCGATGAATCCTAACGTATATCTCCAGTTTCTATACATTTCACAAGCTTCTTCAAAAAAAACCTTTCAGAATATTAACATACAGATGTAAGAATCAATTTCAACACCAAATCCAAACTATTTCACTTGTAATAGCAAAAGAATCAATTGATGGACGGACGGACGCACTACGAAAAGTCAGAGACAGAAGCGTCAACGACGATGTCACGTATGTGGCAGCAGAGTTTGTTCCTTTTTTCTGCATTATTATTATTATTTCGAACCGCACGCAGCACATTAACAAACTCACACGTCGTACATTGTTGGCCGTCTTTAAAGATAACTTAAATTACAGCACGGGAGCACAAAGGAAGAAGTAATCAAAATTATTATAGATATACACAGACTCCACACACAGACTTTCTATACGTATAACGACGTCGACGTCGTAGTCGTCGAATTGTATGTGATGAACGGAGAATTTAAAAAAAAAAAAAAAAAACATGAAGCAAAAAAATAAGGTGAGTGGGGGGAGACAGACGACGGCACTCGACCAGCAAAAGATACAAAATATATGTTCTACTGCTTCTTTTGCACTGTTGGTGGGGGCAAAACGAAGGAAACCCCACACTAACCGCAGCAACTGCGTTTGGCTGAAGAAGTTTTGCCTTTTTCTTCGCTCTTGTGGATGCCGATGCAGCACAATCTGTGACACGACAATTTTCATTGAAATTCACTTTTCTTCAGTGGAAAATCACTTAAAAACGTTTAATTTGTTACATTTCTTGCATATTTCCTCCTTCTGCCTAATATTAATACCTGCTGTTGCTGCTGCTACAACTGCTATTATTTGTCTTCTTCTTTTTCGTATTTTCCACTCAGCTGGCAGCTCAGCAGCCGAGCTGCCCAAATGTGATGGTGTATACGAAAAAAACTGAAAAGAAATGACAGCAGAAGCAGCAGTAGTTCGAGGTGAAATAAGAAGAACAAAGCAAAATAAAAACGCTAGTTAATGGGGAAAATGCCGATTATGCTGCTGCTCGCTTCGCTAATGGAAATAAGAAAAATATGTAAAGAAAATGTTTAGAAAAATAGATTATTTACCCATCGTTCATGCGTTGCGGTTTTCTAGCATGCATTACCATCAATGCAAAGTTTACGCCAGTTTCCTTTTTCCGACTAACGACGTCTCACGATCAATGCTGCGGACCGAAAAATTGTTCTGTGTTGCTGCGGCTGCTGCTGTTTCTGCTGGGCCTTTTTTTTCTCCAATTTCAATTCAATAAGATTTTTTTCCTCCGACTTTTCAATGCAAAATTTCTCTAGAGGCCGTGTTGCGACAAGATATCTTAGTGCCGCCCTTTTTCTCTGCGAGTTTCCTTGAGGCCCGGAAATTTTGCAAATGTTATAATATTTGTAAGTTTTCTTCTTCTTTGCAGCGTAAAAAGAGGTTACACCTTATAAATCATTCCCCGCCGCACGTCCGCACGAAATTCTAAACAATCTCAATTGTAATTAAAAAAGATCATTCATAGAATCTATTGCCGACGACTGCACTACACCAACAACGTCTGTTGTGTAGTTCTAATATAGGAATTATTATTTTGGGCCCCCAATACTCTGGAACGTGTTTTCTCTACTTTCAAAGCGCTGTACTGAATTTTCACGTCAATTGAGAGATTTTAGTACGTAGAGACGACGACAACGACGACGTCTATCACTTCTAGCAGTAGCTGGCCATATCTTCTTTAACCCAAATTAAGTGGCCAAAAACAGGCAAATAATAAACGCAACGAATTGCAATGAATTTGCGTTATAGAGTATACGTAATTTTTACCAAATTATTGTGAAAAAATTGTGTAAAAAATTGTTTAAGAATTAAATAGATTTTATTTCCTTTTATTTTTTGGTTCCTCTACAACTCACTTGACTGAAAAAAATTATGCGGTTACTCGGGAAAATGGTTCCTACACTGCCAATCAGTGAGTTATATGTAATTGGTAATCGATAACTGTTGCGTCGCAACTGCAGCCAACTTAACTGCAAAGGGAGTGTATCTAAATAGTATGACAATTGCTGACATTACGCGGCGTATATTTTGTCAATTTTAAAAAATAAAAATTTGGAAAATTCGCTTTTCAAATGAAAATTAAATTGCAAATATTTTAAGCAGAATTATGTAAAACATACTAAAGTTATGAGAGGCAAAATTGTTTTTTTTTTCAGTGGACGTGTATGAAAATGTATCGTTTTTTTAATATAAATCAAAATATAACATTAAAACACAAAATCACATCGAATTTGACAATAATATTATGGTATTGTCAAATCTGGTGGGATTTTGCTAATGGTTAAACCATTTCTAGGTTAAATACATATATCAAACGATGTAATTTACCTTGTCAAGTTTGGTAGCATAGAAAACAAGATTTATGAATATACATTTTGACAATGACATGCCAAATGTATATTTTTTTAGCCTTAACAAGGATATTTTAAAAATTGTTTACAGATTGTAAACGAATTTATTTCCGTGATAAAACCAGAAAGGTAGTTTAACTTCGAAAGAAATATGAAAAATGCAACTCTGTAACAGCGTCCAATTCTAATCCATCAACTTTTACCAGCGTTGCCTAATATTCAACGTAGCGTACACAAATATTCAACATCCCCATGATAATAAAATGTTTGAAACGTCTGTATTACGCAAATACACCAGGACCATATCTTTAAATTAAATAAATATTTATAGTTTTTAACATTCATTCAATTGTTATATATTTAACATTCATTCAATCGGTTATCGTAGTAAACATTTTTACATTCTTGCAGTTCTGGAAAAGACTTACAAACATTAACGTTTTTGAACTGTTCCAGAGCTGCAAGAATTTTGAAGTTTTGACTACGATAGCCGATTTTCCCTTTATAATATTTAAAAAATTGCAAAACTAGTAGGTACTTGAAGGTACTGGAACGGAGCATTTCTCTTTGTTTTATTCCTATTTTCAACACACAAAAAAAGGAATTTTTCAGTCCTCAAAGGTAAAAACCTCCGACTCTTAAATTTTTACGTCCGACGAATTTGGTCAACTCTCATATAAATACATGTGTTTTACTTGTGTGGTGAAATACGTCGTCTAAGTATGTCGAATTTTGGGTAAAGTTGTAAAGACATGGCAGAAGAATACAGGTAGATGCATCAACGCTTGGGAGCAATGATATGTCAAAAAAACAAATAAATGTTTTTTTCAAATATAAGTAGATTTTTAAATGTTTTCTTATACGACGTCATTCGGAGGTTATTATAATTCGCGTATTTAATCAATTTTTACAAATTTAAATAATTTTTCATTCCACATTTTCAATTCCAAAATTGTTTTGACAGTTCATTGTCCCAGCAGCTGTGTCGATGCATCTACCTATATTCTTCAACCATGTGTAAAGCCTTTGACAATTGGCTTTGAATATTTTACATTTTTTAAATTGGGGAAAATACACAAGGAATGAATAGAATATTAACATTTTTAAATTGAAGTAGTAAAAATTTGATTCAAGACAATTTTTCCCTTGTAAACAAAAGGTAAGGCAGCATTTTAAAATATTGAAAAGTTTGCAAGGATATAAACAGGGATTATTTAATATATATCTAAAATAAATTTATGTGACATAGCACGTAATGTTGTCAGCCTCAAATTGCCAACGTTAATGTGCACCATACGTAACGTTACCTACTATACATACTCCACTAACTACGAGATTATTCATGTTTCTTACGATACTATTTCCACTAACTGGAATTTAAAAGCGGGGGATAGTCATACAAAAACAAAAAATGAATTGTATAAATGAAAATATTAAAAAAATACTCACTATTGTTGAACCTGATGCATATTTGGCGGATCTGTATAAGGTAGGCTAAATAATTTAATACGATTACGATAATTCCGGCGTCACTTTGTTTCTTCCAGAATATTAAAAAGTCCTTTTAGCTATGTAGTACAGTGGAACACGGTTATGATATTCGACGAACTACATTACATTTGTAATCAAAATAGTGAATAGCCGAAATCAAACTGATCAGCGTATTAGAATATTATATTCTTCTGCTCATATAGCTGTTTGAGTATATTTTGGGAATTGCAAATTAGCTTAATAAATGATCTGCAAAGTTAAAAAACAGGATTCGAACAAAAAATTTCAAAGCTATCTATCCAAAATTCTCCCTAGTTTAGGAGTGATCATCTCTCTTTTAGAGATTAGAATACCATGTTGGGCAAAACACTTGGGATTCAAAAGATACCTTTGTGGGTAACGTAATCGGGCGAAATAAACTGGAAGTGTGGACTTTTGACGCAGAAACCGGGTTCATTTGTTTTGTTTTATTTCCTTAATAACTATTATATAATGCAAATTTATAAATAATATTCTTTATTTTTTAGATTTGCTTGAGGAAAGTGCAAACTGGCTCATTGGTAGTAATATTAACATGCCAAAAATTCGATATTTCTCGTCTGTCGCCAATAAAGGAAATGCGAATATCGAAAGAACAAATGAAGAGTTTAATAGTAATGTACGTATGCTGTGTATAGTAAGAAAACATTTTTATAACAATTTTTCATCTTATAGATATTATAAATCCATTGATGAAATAACACAAAAGTTATTAGATTTACACGAATGGTCGCTGTTACCCGCCTTAGTTGTGGTCGACTTAGCTGGTGCCTTAGCATCCACAATGCATTTAAAAACCATTTCCCTTTGTGCAGCTTCATTTTGGGATTACTTGCATTCGATTGTAATACAAAGAGAAAACAGATGCAAAAATATTACATTCACCTTACCTGTATATGGCATTTTTATAGTGAGAAAAGAAAAGGAATATTTCAATGAATTGCATTTGGAAATGTTAAGAAGTCTATATTTTTATCGAGATGTTGTGGTGGAGAGTATTTTAGATATTGAAGATTTTCTAGGGAGTGAAATTTAGATTGAATGTATAGGGATTCGAATGTACATTTCGAATAAGCAACACAAACTACATGAAGTAATATTAAGTTTAAGTTAATAATTATTATTTATTTTTTAATATTAGTATTGATGTAATTCTAGATTCTTTCTATTGTAGTGTTAAACATATACTGATTCCTTGCAGCTTAAAAAAATACCAAATAAAACACTATATATACTGTATTAATAACGAAAATATCATTGTAGTACCGGTGCAAAATGGACCATATTAGCCTCCTAATTATAAATATTTCTTATATTACCGCCGGCTGAGGCGCGGCATAATTCTCCAATGCAATATCCGCAATATTTTTTTATCAAACTCAGGAGGAGTTAAAAGAAGGGACCTCCTCCACAAAATTCAAAATTGTATAAGCATATTTTTTCTTCGTAGAGGGTATGGAATATCCACTACTTCTAGTAGTACCTTCCCCAAAAATGTCTACATTTTGAAAACGATCGATGCATTTTAAATCTAGCACATAGTAATATTTCTATTATATTTAGCTGGAAAACCAGAAGTGGCTATCGTTAGAGCACTCCAGCATTTTAATGTGAATAAATCTTTTGTGTCTGGTACCATCGCTCGTTACTTTGATACTGGTAGCGTAGCACGACGTCAAGGAAGTGGACGGAAGAAAACAGCAACATCACATGGTTCAAAAAGCCGCGTCGCAGTGGAACGTGAGCTGAACATATCGCAATATTCCATTCGGCAAATATTGAAAAATGAGCTCGGGGTAAAGCCAATGAAATTCCAAAAAGTGTAAGAACTTACACCGCAACAGAAAGAAAATGGACTCAAAGTGGTGAACTGCCGAACTTGGTTTTCTCCGATGAGAAAACGTAAATATTAATCTACCGTGGCACCAGAATAAACACCGAATATTATCGCGAAAATATTTTGGAGGGTGCATTCAAGCCTTGGGCACGCAAACATTTTGGCCGCAGACTTTGGACATTCCAACAGAACTCAGTACCACCGCACTTAGCACACGCCACCCAAGAATGGTTACAAAATGATGTTCCTCGCTTCATTTCCAGCGCACAATGGCCACCAAAATCTCCGGATACCAATCCGTTGGGCAATTGTGTCTGGAGGAATTGGGAAAGAAAGGTTGGCACTAAAAAATAACAAAGTGTCGATCACCTCAAGCAAGCGCTTCCCCTGGAATGGGCCAAAATACAGCAGAGCAACATTCAGACAGTGTGTGACAGTTTCATTGGCCCTTTGAAGGCCCTATTTCTTGCCAAAGATGACCAATTCGAACAAATCTAAACTTATTCTAAAATTTGATGATATTTCCGATTTTTCTGCTTTCAATTAATAAACGATTTTATCTGGTAACCGGCAAATCATCGATTAAACACCATTGCTATGCCATATCACTTCTTAAAATAATTCGCTGCAAAAGCAGCAGAGCTTTTTCAACGTTAACAACATTTCCCCAACTACAATGGTCATTAAAACTTTTTTTCGGAAATTACATTGGCACACAAGTGCCAGCTTCCTTACCAACAACACTTTTAACTAACAATGCTATTGGGGTTTTTTCTAAAAAAAAGTGTTCACATAACAAACCACCCCGAAATGAGGGTGAGAAATGAAAAAGAGGGGGCATGAAATGGTGGTATACATTTGTTTTGGTAAATAGCTTTAGCACAGCACATTCTGCAATGCAAACGAAACGAAAATAAAGTAACACAGTACGGTAAGGTGTTGTTTAGAAAACCTTGACAAATGAAACAGCAGCATACATTGTGTGGGCAGGCAGGCCGGCAGGAAGTGTTAGGGGGTATGTGAGCCGAGATACAAATTTCATTATAACAATGTTCTAGTAAATTGTCCATTTTAAAACCTTGTATGCGGTCTTTTCCCTTTTTGTAACAATATTTTACTCTCCTTTACTAAAAATACAAAATAGTTTTTAATTTAAGAAATTTAATTTTATCCTCCAACCTCTTTCATCCCAGGACCCCACTAACTACACCTGAGGCACACACACTCACACCGCCCAAACACACAACCAACCACCTTTCCATCAAATAAACAAACGACCGAGCGACCGCCGAACGACCTTCTTCCTTTCGAACACTACCACCAACCAACCAGCCAACCATCACGATAAAGTGCCGAAATGAAAATGCGTGTTGTTGGTGTTTTTTCTTTTTGTTTAAGGGGCTTTACTAAATCACGTACCTTACTTCGGGTTACGATGATATTTTGTTTTATTTATTTTTATTAGTTATTTAATATTTTATATACATTATCGTATATTAAAAGCTTTTTTGAATTAAATTGAATGAGATATTGTAATTATTATTTTGTTTATTATTATTATTATTGTGGTTGTTTTGTTTTTTATTCTTATTTTGTTTATTATAATTAATATTTCTACCGGGTATTATTGGAACCAGCATTGGTATTATTACTTGTATGGGCCTCGTAGTCCATGACTTCTTCATAGATCAGTTCCTTCCATTGCTCAACATTGTGTTCCCTCTCATCGACGCTGTGATCATAGGGTTCGGGTGCTGGGGCATTCACCTCCTCATTGTCATACCAAACATGAATGTAGCTGTGTAGCAAAGCCTTCTCCACCGATATACGTTGCTCCGGATCAATTACCAACATCTTGCTTAGCAAATCACGGGCCTCAGCTGCCTTTCGTCGACTCTGTTCATTGTTGTCGCTAGGAAACAATACATCCGGAAATAGACGGTCAAATGAATATCCTGAATATCGTGGCCTGTTCTCGACATAGTTGCGCACAGTTGGTTGCAAACGCTGCATAAAACTGGTCGATGGTGTACCCAGCTGCTCAATGATCTTATTCCACTGATCAATGTGATCGGTACCGGGGAACAAGACACCACCACGTATCATCTCGCCCATGATGCAGCCAACAGACCATATATCGACATTCTCTTTGTAGCCCATGCCCAAAATGACTTCGGGTGCACGATAGTAGCGCGTCACAACATATGGGGTCATCATGAATGTTGTGCCCGCTGTTCTTGCCAAACCAAAATCCAATATCTTCAATGTACAATCTGCCTTGACGACAATGTTTGACGGCTTCAGATCCCTGTGTATGATACCGGCCGAATGCAAATGCTTGATGCCGCACAGCATTTGATACAGCAGATAGGACATACGGTCATGATCCAAATCCATTTGAATGACCTGACACAGATTCGCATCCATCAGCTCCATGACCAGATAGACATCTTGGAACTCTTCCAAGCTGCGCTGGGGCGTAAATGCATTAAGTAATCCAATGATATTCTTATGATTTACTAATTTCATGAGCTTAAACTCGCGATAAGCTCTTTTGGTATGTGTTACATTTTGGAATGGACGAGACAACTTTTTTATGGCAACATTCTGTTCGGTCACAGTGTCATAGGCAGCACAAACAATTCCCTGCGCTCCGGAACCAATGGGCCGTAGATTCTGGTAACGGGTGAGTATTGTAAAATTGGTGTCACCCACTTCAACCGTATAGAAGTCGCGACGGGAAGGATGGGAACTCATTTTGTTGGTGTTTGTTTTTTGGTAAGTTGGTTGGTATCTGCTTCACCTCCTTTCAACGCTATATTGCCTCAGCAGATTAGTGGGGACAACAACGACTGCGGCGACGACGACAACAACAACGACAGATATTTTTATTTTTCTTCTCTATTACATTGACATTGTATATTTTTTTGCTCGTGTAATTTTTGTGTGTGAGAATTGATTTTCTGCAACTTTTAATTGTATTTTCGATGACGCAAGGTGTTTTCTGCCATAAACGCCCTTTATATTATATCAGTCCTTGCAAGGCGTTTGCAAAAAGTCTCAAATTTTGTTTTTCCACACCACAATCCACACAGAATCAATCGATATTTTATTAGTACACCAACGAGCGAACGAAAAACTAGAGAAATACTTCAGAGCCAGAGTACGAGAAGAAGCCGATAAAAAAGTAACTCGGAACTACTGCGGCTGCTGCTGCTACTGCGACTGCTTTGCTTCTTCTTGTTGTTATTCTTGTTCTTGTTTTATGCAGCAGACACTCAGCGCCACTTTACCAACTGATTTGCTTGCACAAATACACAAAAAAGAAACGGTGGTGGCAATGATGCCAGATCCCCTTGGATTTCTTTAGGGATTTGCAATTATTTTATTGAATTTTTCATTGTTTCTGCTTGAAATCTTCGGACACGGATATAACACTTCGTTACGTTTGTGCTGTGCAATGGAAACCAAAACTTTGTGGTGAAAATTTAGTATATATTTGCAAAAATGTAACGGCGCATGACCGCTATATTATTATGTTTTAGTATAAAATGTGGTAGCACTTAAGATTTGTAGTGTTGCCCATTTGTTGAGTTTTATGAGGGAATTATAAGATTGGATTGTGGGTATTTTATAAACATTAACCCGCTAGAAGTTTGTTGTTTGCGTTGGGGTTCTTTATGAGATTTATAATTATATAAAGGGGAAGGGTGGAATGATATTGAAAGACTTTAAGGAATAGTATGTAGTTATAAAAACCAGCAACAATAATTATACTTGAATATATATGAAAAATTAAAATGGAAAATTATGAGCTTGGTATTTGGAAAAAACATTTTTTTTTTGAATGAAAAGTAGATGAAAATAATTAACGAAATTGCATTATTTCAATCTCGTTATTTAGATTTCTTTAATTATATGTCAAATAACTGATGACCCGGAATATGAAATTAAAGTACGTTCACATATAATTGGGTTAACCCACGGAGTTTTGATTAAAATTGTCATGTTCATTACTTATACTTCAAATAAACACTCTTAAAGTAAATTAAACGTCAAAATGTCATCTAGCTTACAAAAATGCTGAAAATCAGGCGAAACCCAAGAAAGGCTAATTTCATGGAAATTTCGGCCTAAACACCGAAAATTAGGAGGTAAATTTAAATTTGAGTACCGGCATACTTGGATTAATACTAGACGGGCTGGACTAAAATTTTGTACCATTTTTGTGGGGAAGAAGTGAATATGTGTGAAGTTTGAATAGAATCGGAAACAAATTTTCATTTGTATACTCTACACCACAGTGGGGTGCAGGCTATCATTTCTTTGTGCATGCAGAAGAAAACGTATTTCGTAAACTTTTGAGGATTTATGGACAAATTTGCATTTGTATACTCTACACCACAGTGGGGTGCAGGCTATCATTTCTTTGTGCATGCAGAAGAAAACGTATTTCGTAAACTTTTGAGGATTTATGGACGTCCGTCTATCTGTCCATGTATTTTTTTGAAAAAAAAAAAAAAATAAAATAAAATTTTACTCTGGTTATTTGTTTGACTCTAGGACCAACCTTATTGAAATTGGAGATAATCGGTCAAAATATAGTCCAAAAAGGATGGGATTTGAGTTAAGTCAAATATGTGAGAATCAAGTTAAAATCAAATATGTCAAATATGTTGTTGAAAATCGGTTCAGATATAGTTATATCTCCCACATATATTGTTCATCCAATTTGTAATATGGACTCCATAACAACGATATTCAGGCAAATGTATCAGATACAGCTCCGAAATACCTTTGTCAAATTTTATCGAGATCGGTTCAGATTTGGATATAGCTTCCATATATATCTTTATCCGATTTGAAGTTTATTGTGCATCAAATATTAAATATAGACCCAAATTAAATGGATTTTAATACAAACTTTACAGAATATATTTTTGGCGGATATTTTAAAAAATCATCAATACATCATATATTGTTTTCTACATCATATCGCTATCTATGTAATTCCGGCACCAATATGTATCATACTTATATTTTGTCGTCCACCAAGTAAAAACTAAAGTCTGAGAAAATCTGAAAAATAAATATATTAATAATCTAACCCTAACGGGTTAATTAATATTCCACATTCATTGAAATATAATGTGGCAATCATAACTGGGGAAGTTATAGTAGGAAAACAATGTGGCCACACTGATGTTACAAATAACAATACTGTAACAGGAAATAGGGGTTGTATGACCATTACATATTGTTTACATATTATTTGTGTGGCAAAAAGTTGTACTAAATCGTTAAAACTCTTATGTATTTAGTGCTAAAATATATATGTACAAAGGCAGTGTACTAAACGTTTTTGTTGTTTTACGTAAAACGTTTATAGTATACTCTCTACCTGCAGATAGATAGAGAGAGAGTGAGTGAGAAGCTATAATCGAGGGTGGTGCAGTAAGAATTGTTTAAAATGGATAATTGTTTAGAATGCAGTTACATAGCAAATGAGAGAAAAAAGGAATGCTTGTTTTTAAAATTAAAAATAAAATAAATGTTTAACATTTATAATAAAAAAAATTTTATTTTTTGGAATATTTTTCGATCAGACCAGTAGATTTTTAAAATATTAAATTTATTAATTTTTCGAAGAACCAACCAAGGGTGGATTTTTAAAGACTAATTTTTGAAGGATCATTTGAACTATAAGCATGGATTTTTAAAGAATATTTTTTGAAGGACCATCCGTGGATTTTTAAAAAATATTTTTGAAGGACCAACTGAGCTAAAAGCGTGGATTAAAAAAAATTTTTGAACTGAGCTAAAAGTGCGGATTTTTAAAAAAATATTTTTGAAGGACCATCTGAGCTATAAGCATGGATTTTAAAACAATAATTTTGAAGGAATAACTGAGCTATAAGCGTGGATTTTTAAACTATAATTTTTGAAGGACCAACTGAGCTATAAGCTTGGATTTTTAAACAATAATTTTGAAGGACCAACTGAGCTATAAGCGTAGATTTTTAAAATATTAAATTTATTAATTTTTCGAAGAACCAACCAAGGGTGGATTTTTAAAGACTAATTTTTGAAGGATCATTTGAACTATAAGCATGGATTTTTAAAGAATATTTTTTGAAGGACCATCCGTGGATTTTTAAAAAATATTTTTGAAGGACCAACTGAGCTAAAAGCGTGGATTAAAAAAAAATTTTTGAACTGAGCTAAAAGTGCGGATTTTTAAAAAATATTTTTGAAGGACCATCTGAGCTATAAGCATGGATTTTAAAACAATAATTTTGAAGGAATAACTGAGCTATAAGCGTGGATTTTTAAACTATAATTTTTGAAGGACCAACTGAGCTATAAGCTTGGATTTTTAAACAATAATTTTGAAGGACCAACTGAGCTATAAGCGTGGATTTTTTAAACTATAATTTTTAAAGGACCAACTGAGCTATAAGCGGGGATTTTAAAACAATAATTTTTGAAAGAATAACTGAGCTATAAGCGAGGATTTTTATACTATAATTTTTGAAGGAATAACTGAGCTATAAGCGTGGATTTTAAAACAATAATTTTTAAAGGAATAACTGAGCTATAAGCGTGGATTTTTAAACAATAACATTTGAAAGACCAACTGAGCTATAAGTGTGGATTTTTTAAACTATATTTTTTGAAGGAATAACTGAGCTATAAGCGTGGATTTTTAAACTACAATTTTTAAAGGACCAAATGAGCTATAAGCGGGGATTTTAAAACAATAATTTTTAAAGGACCAAGTGAGCTATAAGCGTGGATTTTTAAACAATAACATTTGAAAGACCAACTGAGCTATAAGCGTGGATTTTAAAACAATAATTTTTGAAGGAATAACTGAAGGACCAACTGAGCTATAAGCGTGGATTTTAAAACAATACAAACAATCCGAATTATAAGTGTGGATTTTTAAAGAATATTTTTTGTTCGGATGGTCGGAATTATAAGCGTGGATTTTAAAAAATATTTTTTGTTCGCATGTTTCGAATTATAAGCGTGGATTTTTAAAAAATATATTTTTGAGGTACCATCCGAATTATAAGCGTGGATTTTTAAAGAATATTTTTGGAGGTACGATCCGAATTAAAAGCTTTGATTTTTAAAGAATATTTTGTGAGGTACCATCCGAATTATAAGCTTTAATATTTAAAGAATATTTTTTGAGGGACCATCCGAATTATAAGCTTTGATTTTTAAAGAATATTTTTTGAGGTACCATCCGAATTATAAGCTTTGATATTTAAAGAATATTTTTTGAGGTACCATCCGAATTATAAGCTTTGATTTTTAAAGAATATTTTTTGAGGTACCATCCGAATTATAAGCTTTGATATTTAAAGAAAATTTTTTGAGGTACCATCCGAATCATAAGCTTTGATTTTTAAAGAATATTTTTTGAGGTACCATCCGTGGATTTTTAAAATTATATTTTTTTAAGGACCAACTGAGCTAAAAGCGTGAATTTAGAAAAAAAAAAATTGAAAGACCTACTGAGTTATACTTGTGTGATATTAAGTATCCTTTAGAGGATTATCAAATCAACAACCGTTCACTTTTATTCTGATTTTTTGTGTGTTAACTTTCACTTATCTTAATAATATCCTTACTCCTTGCACTAACCAAGTGTTGATGATAATCTACTCCTCGCCAAGCATCAGTGTTATTATGACAAACTAAGGTGTAACTGCCAGGCAAATGGATTTACTTAAAATGTACGTGCTGTAGATATTATTGGAAAAACCATTGTTTCGACATAGATCGATAGTTGCCAATGCTACGTGAGAACTTGTGGGCCATATTGAACCACAACGTTGGCAGCGTTCGAGTGAATTGCATCACGTGTTACGAACGTGTTGATGTCGATGGGGGGTATTGGCACATTGCTCTTTGACCTCCACTCTACCGACAAGCATGCCATTTACAATACTAGGAGTCCAGGAGTTTAAAAGGGACACGAAGAAGGAGAGAGAGAACGAGAGTACAGTGCAGGAGATAGTTGCCACAACCACTAAACCGCTACCTTTGTGTAATTGGAAAATTTGCATAAAATACAAAATGGAATTATGGTGAAAAATGTTTCGGATGAAAGGATAGGATTTTTTTTGCGTTCCATGTAAATTATTAATAGTTTTTGCACGGAGAGCAATGTTTGTAATCATGTTCCGATGTGATTACAGATGCTGTTGTTTGTACATGTCCGGCAAATGGACTGATGGAAAGATTTGCAATCGATGGAACAATGTATGCTCATGAAATGGAAGGGGAAAGTGCGGTCGGGGAATTTTTTTGTTTGTTATTTTTTTAAATTTAAAACCAATTATTTTGAAAAGGATTCAGAGATAATTGAGAGAAATCTTTAGAAACAAAAAAAATTAAATAAATATTTCAATTAAAAATTGTCTGGGTTTTCCAAAACACAAACAATATCTTAAAGAGG